CTTTGGCGAGCCACTGTTGACTCAGCTGGCCCATTGAAAGCCATTTCAGAAGACAATTAAAGCTAGGCAAGGGAGAGCACACCTGTAATCCCAAGGCCAGCCTGAACAACAAGTCTGTCTCAAAAAGCAAAGTGAGACTCTATCTCAGAATCCAAAACAACAAAACCTAAAACCAAGACAGAAAACAAGAAAGGAGCATAGGACATAAACATAAGTTATTCTTCACCACGACTCAGGTTTTGGGGTCACGAGCCCCAATAAAGTTTTCACTATATAATTAAAACTATGTTGCTGTTTATATAGTGTGTGTGTGTGCGTGCGCGTGCGCGTGCGTGTGCGTTTGAGTGTGCGCGCGATGGGGGAGATCGGAGGATAACTTGCAGGAGTTCTCTCCTTCTTCCATCTGTGTCCTGGGGATTGAACTCCAGTGAACAGGTTTAGCAGCATATTTACCACTGAATCATCTCAAGAGCCTTAGCAAGATTTAAATAGGGAAACCGACACCTCCACACCTCTTATGGAAGTGTTTTGATTGGAACATAAAAGACAGTTCTTGGCTTTAGTTTAGTCCTTTGGCCACATATTCCTTCAGTCTATAGAGTTCTTTATTCAACATGACTAAAGGCAGAGAGTCCAAGCCAACCACCTGGTCACTGCGCTGCTATGACCGTGTCTCTCTATTTGGCACCGCAGAACACACCAGCTCTATACAGAAGAGGACACAGATTGTCTATACCTTTTGATTTTGGAGAGTGAAGGGCAAAGGAATTCCTCAAGGATAGTTTTACAGGGCCTCTTGGGCTACTGTGAGCTGGTCTAGCTGGCCCTCAGAAAGATGAAGGAGCAGAAACTAAGACAGAACAAGTTCATGGCAAGGGACAACAGTTGCCCTCATTTTCCAGACCTCTCGTGGTAAGAGGGAAAGGACCATGGCATTACCTGAATTAAGCACTATAACAGCACAAATTGGAGAGATCCTAACTTAACAGAGAACCAACCCCTGAAGGCTGTGTTGGAACCTGAAGATGCACTGTGGAACATGCGTACATACATATATACATACATACACACACGACTTTGTAGCCTTCACTAGTCAGTTTTTGTCCTGTAGCATATACTTCTAGAAACTTTTTTACGCTCTTCAGATCTTACCGTCAGTGTTTTATTAAAGTTATAAAATAGCTCAATCTATTTTAACTTTTAGTGTTTTAAGACCACAGGTTAAATTTGTATTAATGGTAGGTTTATAATCAAGACAGATGGTCAAGATAGCCACTGACCCTATGAGAGTTCATATTTACTCAGCCACACTTGTTTTACCACTTGGTCTGGGGCAAAGGGGTAGTAGCTACAACATGGACCTAACTGGCTGGGTGTGTGTGGATTAGCTCATGAATACATAGTAACAAACAAAAACTGAGATCTTCAAAGCAGAGTGTCCCGCCTCCCAGGGACGCATGGTGAAACACGCTGAGCAGGAGTAGCATGCCCTTCTCAGATGCATGTGCTTCCCATAACCATTAAATGCACAGCCTGCTCGGGTTTCAGCCACCCAGCCCACATCCAATTGGAAGCTTCTAGGAACCGAAACTGACAGTTGTGAGACAGTTTTGAGTTGCAAAGCATCTGAAGCCAGTGGCATCACCGGATCCTGTTAAAAAGGATCAGGTTTCTCTCTTCAGTAATTTCGGAATTAAGCTCTGAGATCAAAATGTTTGGGTAGCGACAGGACAGGAAGAAGCCACCTAGAATGAAACACAAATGGTGTTCTGAATAGATGCTTCTGTTTTACACGCGAGAAATCTTATTAAGCCGTTGCTTAGCTACAACTTCAAATCCACCATGATAGATTTCTCTCCAGGCCAGGAAGGCCATGGGAAAAAGACTGCCCATAGAAAGGCTGAGAAGCAGAAGTTCTGCCACACTCTAGCGTCATACCCAGACCCAGAAGCACACTGACACAGAACCCCCCTGCCTCCTTTAAACAGCGAAGGAAGCTTCAGTCTGCTTAGGAGCCAGCCGGACCATGCATCACTCTGAAGAGAAAGATGTCAGAAGTGAGAATCCCTGAAGTTATCTGTCCTGTTCTATTTCACTTAAACCACACAGTAAAATGATTAAGGAGATGAAATTAAAGTTCCGCATTGTGTAGGAAGATCCAAAGACTCTTTGGGAGAGTTGGGACTCTTGTCCCGCAGACTTACTAATTAAAATTATTCATGAATATTTCGCAAGCCCACTACTGAGACCCAGGCTGCTAGATCCACCTCCGAGCTGGAATTCCTTACTTCCTTTTGCAAGCCCTTATTTTGTGCTACTACCATGCTGATTTTCTTTAAAAAAAAAAAAAAGAAAAAATGTACATTGGCGTTTTGCCCACATGTATGTCTGTGTGAGGGTGCCGGGTCCCCTGGAACAGGAGTTACAGACAGTTGCAAGACACCATGTGGTGCTGGGAACTGCTCTGGAAGAGCAGCTAGTGCTCTTAACTGTGGAGTCACCCGTATCGATTTTATCTATCATCTATCTATCTATCTATCTATCTATCTATCTATCTATCTATCTATCATCTATTTTCGTAGTTTTTTGAGACAGGGCTTCTCTGTGTAGCTTTAGAGCCTGTCCTGGGTACTCACTCTGTAGACCAGGCTGGCCTCCCAGAGATCCACCTGCCTCTGCCTCCCTCCAGAGTACGGGGATTAAAGGCATGCACCACCACCGCCTGGCTACCATATTGGTCTTTTAGAGGCGTAAGTATCTCACTTTCCTGGATGGAGCCTTCCAGTGATTTTATTTGGCACTTGAATGAAATTCAACCCTCCACCAGGACCATCCAGGCCCTGCCCGTTCTGGCCCCAGTTCCGGACCCTTCCCAGCAGACCTACCGCACCCTCCCCAGCTCACTGCAGCTCCACTTTGAGGTCGCCATATTGGTTATTCCTTCTGCTGGACAGATCCGCAGTCAAGTCTGGCTACTGTTTTTCACACCTCAGGTGAGTTTGGCTGCACCCTCTCGAGATCTCCATCAACCTATCACCCCATTTAACAAGTCTTCCTCGATCTGCAGAAGCTTAGATCCATCTGGAATGTAAGTCCCGTGACAGCAGGGGCCAGTCTCTTGATTTTGTAATCATCTCTCTAAGTCCAGCACCAGTGTATGCTTATCCATGAGTCGTGATTTCATTAGCACAGTGCCTGGGCTTGGAGGGCAGGCCAAGCCTGGTTTCAACACCAGGTTACATCTGGGTCAAGTTCATCCTCCCAAAGACTTGGTTTCTTTATACGACAGAAAAACTTGTGGGACAACATAAATTCAAATTTAAACACACTCCCTGGGACTCAAGTCTACTTGGTCAGAGTGTTTCCAGATCTAATTCCACAGGTTTGCTTTCCTGTGCAATGGCACACACCTATGAACCCAGCATTTGGGAGGCTGAGGCATGAGCAGTGAGTGCATGGTCAGCCTGGGCTGCATAACGAGATCTTGTCTCAAAACATATAATAATAGGGTAACATCAAAAACTTCAGGTCATCCCTGTATCATTTTTTTTTTCTTTCTGAAACCCAAAAATGCAGTACTTCAGGAGGGCAAGGTGGGCTTGGTCCAGGGTCCAGACCATCCTCCAGAACTCAGTGGGAGCCAGTTACTTCCATTACCCGTTTCTCAGCTTTCCCTGGCAACCGAGCATTGCAACACCAGCCAGGGGACCCTGGTGCTTCATTAGTCTTAACTGTGAACATTTTTTAGACAGACTCAAGATGTAGTATCAATACTTCATTCCATTGGAAGAAAAAAGAAATGTACTTTCCAATGTGGAAGCTCCAATGACTTTGAATAATACAAAATGGGTGTGGTCTTCTGAGTTCAGAGTTCTTCCTGCCTCCAAGCCCCTCTGTTTAGAAGCTCATCACTCTCAACACTTAATGCTGACTTTCCAGGAAGTAAAGCATTTTAGGAATAGACCCTTTTATAATGCATTTTATTACACCAGCTCCCCCTACTAAAGGCTTCCAGTTGAATGTCTAAGTCCCTCTGTCTTGTAGAGGTCTAGTTTTATTTTCATACTTCAAGAATCCATTTTAGAAGGTATTCCAAGACACCTCCTTTCCGAGCACAGGCTGGCTAACTTAAAGGTTTAGCCATTAACAGCTGGTTCAAGTTGTTCCTCTTCAAGTCATATGGGCACCTTGGGATATCCAAGATGGGATCTCACTCACTGCCCCAAAGAAATTTAGATAGGGTGTTCCATCCCATCTAAAGGGTAACTTGCAAGCAGGCTGCAGTGTGTGTATGTGTAGGAAAGGATGAGACACACACAATACCATCTACACCGCTTCTTTGATGGAAATCGTTTGCTCAAATGACAGAAAATAGGTCTTAAATTTTAAATCTTATTTTAAAAAACTAAAAGGTTCAGTAAACTAGCAGCCCTTGAGACTGGATGAACATGTACACACACAGACACCTACCTTACACGGGCCCATTTTAGTTCCACGTGTGATTTTCCACACACTGGTTACTGGCATCAAGCTCTGGTCGGCAGGACACCAGAACGCCTTTGTGTCCTTACTGACACTACGACATTGTGTTTTCCTCCCATTATCCAAGGATAAATGACCTAGATAGTGTGCCTATTAAAGCCCATCCTTCTTTTGCTCCTTTGTGTACAGAGTACCACATTATCAGAGCCTGCACACATTTTCAGGGTTCTAACTCTCAGATGCCCTTTCAGGGGAGCCATAAGAGGTAGGTGTGTGTGTGTGTGTGTGTGTGTGTGTGTGTGTCTGCTGAGATGTCTGGTGTGGAATTACATAAAGGTAATTCAAGGTCTCCCTCCCCATCTAGTCTTGAAGACAGTGTGTTACTAACAGCTAATCTAGCATAAGAGGATATAGCAAGCAACTTCTCAAAAGCCAGAATGCTGTGTTTGCATCTACTGCGAATACAAAAAAGGAGTGAACACCAGTTTCCCCCACACTACATTCTATAACTACGTCTCTGCATATCATGGGTCACTTTTATTAAAAGCATCATTACTACAGTTGGCAGCAATTTACATTTTATCTTACATGATAGCAGTTTTCAGAGAAAAAAAAAATAAAAGGACATCACAACAAAGAAAAACATTTACAAAGTCCTGTCTGTAAACTTCAAGGCTAGTTTAGAGCTGAGGTAATGCTGTTTTAGCTTTGTGGCTAAAGTAACAAAGTCCTTTAATTTAAAAAAGAAAAAAAAAAAAAAAAAAAAAAAAGAAAGAAAGAAAAAAAAAAAAAAAAGAAAGGTACCTGATTCTCACTTCTCTCTCTTTTATTTATTCTTCTATTTATTTTGTTTATACCAGTGCATCACAAGACCACAAGCCAATGGAGCTCCAGTTGTCTGGCAAGAACCCTCCCAGTAGGTTAGTTTTCCAAAGGGACCCTTCACATTCAACAGCTGCCTTATTATTGCTGCGCCTCGGGGTAGAGGCGTTCACACTAATGTGGAGATTGTCAGAGTGTATGGATGTGTGTGTATGCGCAATGTGGGAACCCCCATACAGTCAGAAAGGGAAACGAATGAGCAAGTTATGATATGTATGGTAAATTTCATCTTGACCTTCACAGCAAAAAAAAAAAAATTAAAATTAAAAAAATTAAATATATAACTTCATACTTCGTCGGAGCAGCGCTTCCTTCCAGTAGTGCCGCTCTGTTACAAATTGCTCTTTATTATAATACCAGCGGTACCCAAAGAAAAGCAGAGCATTATGTTAAGTTTCCTTAAAAAGACATGATCACCTCTCAAATTTCATCTTTCCTAGGGATAATAAATAATGCACTGCACAATACTTAATGACCAAGATACCTTCGGACACACCTGCATATAACATGACTTGGACTTTTTTTCCTTTTTTTTTTCTCTTTTTTCTTTTCTTTTTTTTCTCCCTTTTGCTACGCTATGTTACAGAACAGCTTATAAAACTAGGTATGAACATTAACTGTGAGTGTAAACAGTAGGACTACCACCTGTCAACAGTTTTCAACACTTGGAGCGAGCGGGCAGAGGAGCTGCTGCTGTCACTCGTCATTTCCGTTGTTCTCGATCTCATCCCCGCCTTCGAGGGAGTCCAGCTCTTCACCCTGTGCAACCTCGTCTTCCAAGACGGAGGACTCTGCAGTCTTGTCCAGGCTCCCCTCGGCGTCGCTGCCACCTTCGGGGGTGTCTCCGGGCTCTTTGCAGGGACCCCCCTCCGCCTTGTCGGCGGCGGCGGCCTTTTCCTCACTCACACCCATGGCGCTCTGCAGCCCGGCCAGCGCTGGGAAGCCGGGCAGCGTCAATCCCCCCAGCCCCGGAGGTAGAAACATGGATGGGTAGAAGAGGCCCGGGGCCATGGTGGACAGCAGGAACGGGTTGAAGGCCAGCGGGTTGGAGGGCAATGCAGCCGGGGCGGTAGCAGCACCAACAGATCCGTTGTTTGCAGAGTCGGCGGCCGGGGCTGCAGGGGCTGCAGGGGCGGCTGCATCTGTGCTTTTCTCACAGTCTCCGTTCTCTTCGTGGCTCTCGCCGCCGTTTCCTTTCTCGTCCGCTTTGGGGGCGCCGTCGTCCGGCTCCCCCGGCCCCTGCCCCTGCCCCTGCGTAGGAGCAGGCGTGCTGCTTCCAGCGGCGGCAGCGGAGAGGGGGCTGTTGAGCAGCCCGCCCAGCCCGAAGACGTTGGGCAGGCCGGCCATGCCCGGCAGCATCAGGGGCAGCACGGCAGGGCTCTTGGCGTCGCCTCCCGCCGTGGCGGCCGTGGCCAGGCCCGGAGGGAAGCCCATGAGCCCCGCCAGCTGCAGGGACTGCAGGTTCTGGAGGCTCTGGAGGCTCGTCAGGTCCATCCCAGCGAACAGGCTGTTCACCAGCAGAGGGTTGATGCCCGAGGTGGAGGCCACCGCCGCCGCCGCCGCAGCAGCCCGGGCCATCTCGCTTTTGGGCCTCCGTCCTCTCCGGCTGGCCCCTTCTCCCCGAACCACGGGTCCGGTGAGAAGTCGATCAAACATTGATTCGGGGACAAAACCCTACGGAAAGGAAAAGGCAGACAACAGCCTTAAAAGACCAGTGAAGACTATTTACTGTCGAACGTGCGCCTTTGCCATGAGCTCTGCAGCCCACATTCTAAACACGCCAGCAATTGTTTTCCACTCTAAGCGCCTGGGAAAGCACAGGCTCCGGTTTTACCATTATGTTCGCTTGCTGGATTGTGCTGAGTTGCAGGAAAAATAATAATAATAATAATAAAAACGTTTAAGGCTATGCCACCACCTAAGTAAATGCCGAAGTAACTGCATCCTTAATGAACTTAAGATCACACACCAGAAAATGGCTGATTGATTGACTGGGGTAATCAGTACCTGATGTGTGAACGTATGTCACATGCCTCAAGCACAAATAACTTTCCATTTGTCAACTAATTGCCAAATAAATGTCTGTCAATCTTAAAAGACTTTATATGGAGAAAATATGATAAGATAGTATCACGAAAGAGTTGCACAGACCGCAAGCTATTTCATATACTGTGTGCACTGGATATTTCAAACACAGGTAAGAATAAGACAGAAAGTGTAACAATGTGGAAAATTTAATAAGCTAGACACACGTGTTAGTGTGTACCCAGGAAAATGAGAAGTTACACTAAAACCTGTGTAAATGTTGGCAGCAGTTTTTACCGATGACTTCATAAATGTGAAAATCCGGGAAGTCTTTCCCCAGGTGAAGGAGCAACATGAGGCGGCCAAGCACACGACAGGTGCGTTGAGAAAGAGTAGACCCGTACACACCCCACTCCACCGTGGGCAGCTGGGAATACTCCCTGAAACCACAGTCTCAGGTTACAGAGTTCTACTTCCCTTTTATCCAGTTCCAAAAGACAAGACACTAGGACGGAAGACTAAGTCAGCAGTAGTTAGGGCTCCGGAGCGGCAATCAGAAGTACAGGTGCCCACCATAGGAGATCAGGTAGGTACCGGATAATAAAAATGGTTCATTACAACACAGTGGCTAGAACTCTAACATCAGGAGTCAATTTTGATCGTATCATTAAACAAAACCAAATAATCATGCTACCAATTTGTCTTGAAAAGAACCTAACGATGGTACAATTTTATGCAGAATTGCTGTCAATTTTAAAACTGGAAATAAAGCTAATATGATAATCTTCCTGCTTCCAACCAGTACATTCCATCACCTAGATGACGTTTACTAAGCTCACCTGGAAGAAGTCTGCCTCCTGGGCTGGGAGTGGGCATGTCCACACAATATTTTCAAATCAGAGCTGACAAATAGGTTCATTTCCAATTAACAGTGTGATTGTGTGTACAAAATGATGCACTATGTATGAGATGTATGAAAATGGTGCATCATGGCAGTCTTTTAAGCTCAGATTGTTACAACCGAATAATTGTAGCCAACAGGAAAGTAAACCGGCACACGGTTGGCTGTCTATCTCTTTCTAGTACTTACAGACTGCTTGACTATGTCGGTCCAGTCTGGAGCGACTGCAAACTCAGGGTTCTCCTCCAGCCACCTGGGCAGGTCCTTCATCGGAGGGGCCATGGCTCCACCCATCTGGGAAGATGAATCCAGTGAACATCTGAACACCCCAGAGGGCTCCCTCCCGAGTCCCCTCATCTCCCTCTTTCCAAACACACACAGGTTCTAGAAGAGATGCAATTCTTTGTCCTCAGCATCTCATCCCCGGCATTTACCTTCTTCCCGTTCCGCTTGTTAACAACTGGAACCCTCTCCTCTCCTGTCAAAGTGTTTATATCCAATTTATTAGGGTTCCGACATCTATGTCGCTTCTGTTTCGGTTTCTGAAACGAGGAAAACAGCGCATCTGCATTCTTCTGCAAAAGAAAAGGAAGTATTTAATGAGGTTGTATTTAGTACTGGCCCCATCCTACCAATGCCCAAGAGAACAGGTTCAAGCATTCTGACATTTTAACAACCACTTTCACTTAACAGAAATCACACTTTTCTGAGAAAGGATCTCCCAGACCTGACTGGCCCATCAAACAGGTACTCTCTGAGAATCCACTTAACAAAAACTTAAGACTTATTTATTTTTGCAAGAGTATTTTTATGATACTTGGGTTCATACCTGGCACCAAGAACAAGATAGAAGGGGGGGGGGTGAGTGAGAATCTTCAAATATCTATAAAAAGCATAGCATTTTAAAAGAAACTTTGCACAGTACCTTTACTTATTTCTAGTCAGTGATATAAATGAGCCCAGAGATGATATCCTAGATAACTAGATGAGATTTTTGTCCCTTGGGGGGAGGGTGCTGGTTACTGTGAGTATCAAGAGGTGAGATTGCCTGAACTTGATGAAAAAGACATAACCGTTAAGGCTACACAAAGAAACTGTTTTGGAAAAACAAAAAGAAAAGAAAAACTAATCACAAAAGCATAGGAAGTATGAGGTTTGTGTTGCCAGCTAAAATATGGTCTACAGGATGCTGATTGATGTTTAGTATAAAACAGAAGGGTTAGCTGGGTGGTGGTGACTCAATCCTTTAACCCCACCACTCGAGAGGCATATCTCTGTGAGTTCAAGGCCAGCCTGGTCTACAGAGTTACAGGACAGCCAGAGCTACACAGTGAAACCCTGTCCTGAAAAAAGAAAACAAAAACCAACCAACCAAACAATAACAAAACCCAAAGCAAGCAAAGCAAGCAAGCAGACTGCAGTACTTACTGGTACATAACTGGGCATATCAACAGTGTAGGTAGGATGCAGCTTCAGCCAGTCAACCAAGTCCTTGTTTTTAGGGGCGTCTTCTCCCACCAGCCTTGTCCCATCCTCAAGGTTCATCACAGGGATCCGGGTGTCAGGGTCCAGCTGTCCAGGAGAAGGAATGTTTCGTATTGGTGGGGTCTCTATATCTTCTTCAAAAACTTTGGTCACCTCAGCATCCTCCTGCAGGAAGTGGACAGTGATCGGAATTGTTGCATGACGAGATTCTGATAACGTTCTACCTCAGGGAAATCCTCTACCTGGATCTTTCATTAAAAAGCGAGAAGCTATCTGAAACAACGTTGAGCTCTAGGATGACTTTCCGATTAGAAGATGACACTTTTAAGTTCCTCACAAGGCAGGAAATTCAAAGTCTACAGGGCCAAGCAAGCCATTAGGACTACCGCAGCATGACATGCGGCAGAATAAGCCAGAGGTGTGTGTGAACAGTGGGCTCACAGGGGCCCCTGGACACTGCGCTAACAAACACAGTTTATAGTAACCAAGCACCGAGAGCAGTACAACTCTGTTGGTCGGGCAGCGTTTTGTGTTAGGCAGAAATTAACACTTCACCCTCAATCTGCCCCTGGTTCTTAAATGCTGTCCTTTCAACATTCAAACACCCATTTCTTCATCCCCAGGGCTCCCTTCCCCCACTTTATTATCACAACTTTCTTGATTCTGGCTCCCAACACTCTTGAGTCCAACCTCCATGCTGCTAGACCACACTGGGTTTTCTAAAGTGAGTAATCTTTGCCTGGTCCCAAAGCTGCCATTTAGTTGCTCCCTACTTAGGCTACTGCAGTAACTGTCTCCCAGATGCCTTCAGGACATCCCCACGCGTCTCAACGTGGCACGCTAAGCTTTCTATAATCTGCACCTCACTACCACCATGTCCAAGCCCTCATAACTTCCTCACCGTATTCACCAGCAAAATGTGCATGTCACAAAGGGAGGCATGGGAAGGGCTCTCTGCCCAACCCGGCACTTCTGCTCCAACAAGATCTCCAAAATTTAACGACTTTCAGCTACCTTCAGGGTAATCTCCTTATGGGTTCCCCAACTTCTCTCAAGCACTCCAAGCCCTCCTCTGGAGCATAGCAAGCATGCCTTGGCCCCAGGACACATACGTAACTAGGACACATCACTGAAGTTGGGTCCCCTTAACCAAAACACCTAAAACCAGGATGGGTTGAATTTTGTATTTTTGAATATTTGTGTACAGACTATCAGACATGCTAGGGCTGGAATTCAAGTCTAAACATGATGTTTATATACCCTTAAGTAGTTTTTGTGCATTTGGGGGGGGGTGTTTTGAGACAGGGTTTCTCTGTATAGCCTTAGCTGTCCTTGGCTGTCCTGGAACTCACTCTGTAGACCAGGCTGGCCTGGAATTCAGAGATCCACCTGCCTCTGCCTCCTGAGTGCTGGGATTAAAAAGTGTGCAGGGCCATCACCTTCTGGCTTTATGCAGTATTTTAATGTAACTACATTTTTAACTTTTCCCATTGATTCTGTGTGTGTGTGTGTGTGTGTGTGTGTGTGTGTGTGTGTGTGTATGTGTGTGTGTGTGTTATAACCTATGTGGAAGTCAAAGGTCAGCTTCCAGGAACTGCTTCTCTTCTGCCTTTACTCACTCCTTTTACAGGATCAAATGATGTCACCAGACTTGGGTGGGAGGTGCTTTTACCCACTGAGACACTTTTCCTGCTTGGCAGCTAGCTATGATTTAGTGGAATTTTGCTGCCTGAAAAGTTTCCGAGTGTGGAGTACTCTGGAAGTTTTAATTGGGGAATACTCAAAACACACTTTTCTGTTGTCTTCCCCCAACAATGACGTTTCTAGGGATGCCCTGTCACGTCAGTGTTTCGCTCTGACACAGTGACATCGCACCGGCGAGGCCACTGGAGGCACACCCCTCTTCTGTGACAGCCGTGGGAGTTGGGATGTGGACACAATTGTGCTCGGTACACTTTACACTGCAGATCTCCACACCTTTGCCAACTCTGCATTTTCCTTGCATTTTATTCACAAGCAAATCAGACTCCATAATTAGGGAAATCCCCAGTTTACAGAATCTAACAGTTTAAAAATGTCCTTAAAAATACATTTCCCAACATTTATTAAGAGTTTCTGATGGGTGGTAGTGGCACACATCTTTAATCCCAGCACTCAGGAGGCAGAAGCAGGCAGATCTCTGAGACAGAGACCAGCCTTTCTATAGAGCGAGTTCCAGGACAGCCAGGCTACACAGGAAAACCCAAACAGAACATCAACAACAAAAAACAAAACAAAACACAAAAAAGGATTTCTCTTAGATTTGAGTTAGATTAAAGTTCATTCTTAATCTGTATGGATGCTTCGATTTACAGCCTTCTATGGAGCTAGAAATTCCAATGACTGCTGTGTTAGCTTTCCAAGCTTGCCTTTCCCCCCTTTTCAATTAGTAAGCCTCTCTCTGGGCTCATGACTGGTGTTTGGCACTGTGTGTACACCTTTAAGCCCAGCACTCAGGGCCACAGACGCAGGCGATCTCTGTTTGAGACCGGCCTGGGGTACAGGGAGATATTGTTTTACAAAAGGGGGTGGTGGATGGGAGAGCCAAGCCAGAAGAAAATGACCAGCACCTCTTAATTTCAAATCAATTTTCTTCAAAACTGCCCCATTGCCCACGGAAAGGCTCATGGTGGCCCAGCCCAACATGGTCCCACAGACTAGAGTTTCAAATCAATAGCTCAGGATAAGAAGTTTGCAACCCTTCACAGAGCATGTAATGGAGTTCTTCAGGGTAAAATCCTTGCATCCGGGATGATGTGTTTGAGGCAGTTTGGAAAAGGGAATTTATTATACTGCCTTTTACAGCCTTCCAATTAAAAATCCACCGACTTGTCCTCCAACTAGCAATGATGTGTCTCAAATTTCTAGAACAACCAGTTACAGGGTGTGAGAAAGCACACCAAGCCACTAGTCAGGCATGGGAACACAAACCCGAGGCCTGGCACTAAGCCTTTACAGTACTCTAACTGATTCTGGCCCCAACATCAGCGTTCCTAAGAACAGAAGCTGCCTCCTCAAGAACTCAGAGATAACAAATGTATGCTCAGAAAAAAACAATGTCTCTGCCTTTTGCTAATATTTCTAGAGCAATCAATACGTCAGAACCTCAGGAAGAGCAAATCCTCCTGCAGCCCCCTGGCTCAGGCTGAGTGATCTACCTGCACCAGATCAACACAGTTTTCTGGTTCGGGAGCACACACACAGCTCTGTCCATTGTAACCTTGCTTCTCTGGTGGAAGAAGCCAGCTTCAGTGTGACGTTGCTGAGAGAGGTAGGGTCGCAGCCCAGGGCTGGCTGTCAACAGGGGCACATACAGCGAGCGACCACCCAACTTACTGCACTTAAGGCTGTCCGTTTGTGGCTCATGAAAAACAGGTCGAGGCCCTCCACGTTTTTCCTCCTGCCCCGCCTCCTCTTCATGGGGGGCTCTCCGTCCATCAGTGAGCCGTTGAGCAGATGCCTTGTTGGTGTTCGTGAAAGGCCCGTTTGCAGCAGCCCCATCTGAGTCTTAAAGGCATCAGACACTGGTGTAGACATGCTAGGCAAGATAAACTTCGAAGTAAGAGATGAGAACTTTGAGGTAGAACTTGTCGCCTCTCTTGAGGCCTTTGATAAGTCCACAACTTTTTCTTGTCCATTTTCTGAGACCACCTGAGACTCTCGAAGCTGTGCAACCATCTCCATAAGATTTCGCCTCTTGGCAGCTCGTTCAGCCTCTATTTCGACTTTTCTCCTTCGCCGCCGCCGTTGGCGAGGGACAGACAGGTTAAGGGCATCGTCCTATTGAAAGATTCCCACAGAACAGAGTTGCAATGAGCCAATCCTTTATCTGCTATAGGGGCTGGCATTAGAAAAACCGAGACCACCACCAAAGACCAGAACGCTGTATGCCGGTGGCTGTAGCTGTGGAAACAGCAATTGACTTATTGTGCGGTCTGACTGGTTAGCTGGCTGTGGTAATGTGTGCATGTGACTTCAGCTACTTAAGGATCTGGAGCCAAAAGGCTGCTTGAGTCTGGGACTAGTATGAGGCCAGCATGGGTGACACAGTTAAACAGATACACAAGACCATATCAGATTAGTGGGTACAAGCTCCTGAGTCAATTAAACTTGGCAGAAATTGTCTTCCAACACAAAAGCAAACTGCTCTGGCTTACCTTGGACAACTGAGGAGAAGTGGTAATGTCCTCACTCCGGCTGATGCTGGCTTGGCTGACCATGGAGAGCTCTGTAAAATTCCTCTTCTGCAGGGGACTGTCCATGGCGGCGGGCGTGTAGCCAGGGACGAGGCCCTGGAAATCAAACATCTGGCGCCGGTTTACTGGCCATTTGCCTTTCAGTACAGCCTCACAGATGTTGTCTAATCGGTTTATCATTACTCTGTCCTGGAGGGGGGAAGAGTCACAGGGAATTGGTGACGAAGACCTATTACAAATTACTGGATAAATATGTCCACCCAGATCCTGAAGAGTCAAAGTGATTAAAGGTCAATTACTGGGACTACAGCAGCCAAACAAGAGGCAAAGCAACAAAATCCACCCAAGTGGCTTGGTACTGATGGGATGCCCTGAGTATTTTCAACCATGCACGCTGGATGACACGGAGTAAGCAGCACCTTCAAAGCAACCTCAAACTGTAACTCATTCAAGCTTCAAGAACCTTAGTGGGTGGCAATGGGGCCTCTCCCGTAGCATTTCAGTGGTCTGGCCCTTCAGATCCACAGGCCAGAGTGCGGTGTGTCCCAGGAAGGGGGACATCATTAGCGTCACTATTAATAAAGTTCAGCATTATGAAGTGGGCACCAACCTAGGAACACCTAATGAATGCCAATCTGTAATCCTCACCTATTATCGCTCCAAATTTCATTGAAGCGTGCACATTCAAATTTTCTAATTGCAGCTCCTTAGACCAAGTTTCCACAGATTAATAGTGCGGGAGACTGTAAACCTTTGACTGATCTAAGAACCTCGCCTCTACACTCAATGTGGGAAATTATTACAATCAGGAACCAAGAGGCCACAGAGAACTGGAAAAAAAGAATCTCAACTGCATACCCTTCAGACAAAAGTGTCACCTCCTTAGGCCATATTAACACCAATGAGGACTAGCTGGGATGAACTACCTCAAGCCCATGGTGTGTGGGACTGCTTTAAAGTAGACAGCCCCTGTCATGGCATATATGATAATTACTTCCTGCCTTGAGAAACAGACCCAGATGGCACAGAGAACATTTTAGAGAATTATGCTTCATAACTAAAGATCAATTTTCCTTTGCCTTGAGTTATAGATAACTACATCTGGGATGACCCCCATGACAAATGGGAGCGAAGGAGTTCACCATCACCCCTTCTCGGGAATTAAGATCATAGTGGGCTTTCAAATACATTATTTCCAATCAAAAAGCTTTACTTAATCTTTACAAAGTTAAGAACCCGGTTTCAAAGCTCCACACTTCATTTTGTCAAATCTAATGAAACACCATAGCTTCTATGAGACAACATGACAGACTGAAGAGCCCTACAGCGTGAAGATCAACGGTTCTTATTCTACCACACGAGCGTCTTTAATCTTACTATAAAAATATTCTAAATGCTTCTTTCTTTCTTTCCAGGCATTCTTTTAAAATAAAGGAAAAATTCTGCAACCTTCATATGCTCAACAATATTTACCTCAAGTTATTTGAAAAATCAAGCTACAGAGATTTTTCTTCCTGCCCTTTTGTCCAGTCACCAAAACAATCATAGAAACAAACCCTGCCAACCTTGGGCCAGAAGGAGAAGGCGAATGTCCGTTCATGAAGGAGCTGAGCCACCGAAGGATCTCCGTCCTCCATATAGAATCCATCTCGGGTTTCATCCCTCGCAGTGCTCAGAGAGGCATTGCTTTCTTCATCGAAATTTTTTCCTCTGCAGACAGCTCCTGCTGAGACATGAGTTATGTGCAGCACTCACCGCCAGAAGACACTGAAGCTCACATTTAGAAAGGACAGAGTTAAACACAGGAATACCACCCAGCTCTAGTTTGCTGCGAGCCTACTATAAAGATACAGGGTATTTTGCAAGTCTGCATTGTCTAAAGTTTACAACAGCCCATTAATGTAGATGGTGCTCTTCTTAGCTTGCCGATGAAGAATCCATGGAAATCTTTTCTATGTGGTCACAGACACAGGGTCTCGTGTAGCCCAAGAAATCCTCAGCCTCACTATGAACTTGAGGCTGGGCTTGAACTTGTGATCCTACTGCTTCTCTACACCCAGGTGCTAAAGTTACAGCATACATCACTGCACCAAGTAAATGATATAGGCACTGAAGGCTAGCCATGCTTTTGACTCAAAGGCTTCTGCTGTGTGATACAGGACAAGGCTATGGTATCAGCTAACGAGGAAGTACCACACAGTGGCAAAGTTTGACGTGGTGCCTCGTTTCTACTTGTGTGGGTTATAGAGGTCTGTAACAGGGAAAATGTGGTATCAACCAATCATCACTTACTCTGAAATGAATGACTCTCTTCCCTCTCATTCATGTGTCCAAATTTACCATTACATGGAATTCTTAGCACACCTGACTATGACGTTAACTTGTATCCGTAAACCAGAAGTGACTGACGTGTGCACAGCCACTCTGAGTTTACACTGTTTGAAATGTGCTGACAGGTATAAAGTAGCAGGGCAAACACATGTAACCCTAAGTGGAACTACCCCTCGCAGAAGAGCAAGGTCCCCTTGTGGACCTCTGGAGGTCGCTGTGTAGAACAAGCTGACTCTGCCTGCAATGCTGACAGTAAAAGCGCCGGCCACCATGCCTTACCACCAATCACTTTGAAAAAATAAAGCACCTTGCCATCAGTGACTTTTAAAAAATAAAGTGCTTGAGGTGTGGGCATGGTGGTGGCACGTGCCTTTACTCCCAGTCCCCTGGAGGCAGAAGCAGGCGGGTCTCTGTGAGTCTTAGGCCAGCCAGAGATACAAAGTCAGACCAAGGCTCCTCTGTAAGCTGCTGTGGGTCCAGGGCAGTGGCAGGAGCCAGGCATTAATTACCTTCTGGCTGCGACGACTCCTCTGACTTATCATCGTCCTCCAGCTTTTCTTCCTCATCCTCTTCTGAGCCTTTCTCTGAGACAGATTTGGACCCAGGGTCCGTACTGCCCTCCATGCCTTTGAGTTCATTTTTCAGAGAGATGGCCTCGGCCTCACAATCCTGCTTGCTGTCCTTGGCCTCACCACCAGCTTCTTCCTCCTCCTCTTTCCCTTCCGACCTCTCTCTGGCTGGTGAGTGTTCAGATTCCTCTGCCTTGCCTTCGGCCTGCTCAATTACCTTCTCTTCGTGAGCATGAGCCGAGGAAATGGCTGGAGGAGTCTGGCCAAAGCCCACGGCCAAAGCATTCAAAGAAGAAACAGAACCGGCCCCACGGTTCTGGGCAAAGCTTTTATGTGCATCTAGGAAGGACAACTCGGGGTCATTGAGGATGTGGTAGTCTGTCCGGCTGACCCCGTGCTTAGCAGCGCCCACCAGAAGGTCCCTGTCGTGCCGTCCACATTCCCACCACTCAGGCAGGTCTAGACTGGGCTGACAGAGCTTCAGTCTGTCACTCAGCTGAGGGTGGTGGAGGACTTGCTCTCGGATCTTGCGCAGCAGCTCGATGCGGTACAGGGTCCTAGATGCTCGTTCCTCGGTGATGGGCTCGATGAGGGAGGCCAGGTCAGGTGGCTCTGTAACATGAAGCACGCTGGTTACTTGGGCAGGCCCCAGGCCCACCCTAACCCGCTTGCACGGCCCTGACTGTCTAGTGCACAGTGTGGCTAATCATTCATGTACCTACCATCCTCAGGCTTGGCGGGCATTCTGCATACCCGCCTGCACATGGCCACGAAGCAGCTGAAGTACTTCTCCAAACTCTCGTCAGATTTTTTGTCTAGCCTGGCAAAGGCGCGGAATTGGTTCCAGTCAAACTGCTGCTTCACGGGGTCAAAAATAACCCCGAAGGTGGATACCACGCGGTAAAAGTCAGCTTCCTCTCTCCTGGTCCACCTGCGGGAAAGAGACCCGGCTCACACCATGCTCTGGAAGAGGCATGTTTCCAGGACGTATTTAGGATTGAGGGACAGACACTTTCCAGGCACCAAGCCTTTCTTTGTTGCTACTGTCTGGTGTGATCACTGCTTCTTGTGGGCCTGGTAGAGAAGGGAGGGCACCCGGGCTGGGGGTGGGCGTGCGCTGCAAGGAAGGGCGAAGAACTCACTTTTGCCTTTTCTCCGATATAATAGCTTCCCTTTCGGCCTCCAGAGCTCGCACTTCCTCCCGAGGCCGCCGTCTCCGCCGGTCTGTCTTCATTAGGGCCTCTTGCCTCATTTGTTGCCTTTTATAGCTGCGCTGATAGGCAGTAATGAGGCGGCGCAGACGTGTGGTCAGGGTTGACGTGTTGGGCCAGTAGAGTTGACCTAGCTCAGCACTGCTCTCGCCGAGCTTGCCTGGGGAAGTGGGGGAAAGAGTCTGAAATGCGTCCTGCATCCTCACAACACAGACAACTTTCCCACAAAAGCAGAAGACTCCATAGCCTTCTGAGGACAGAGCGGGACAGGCCATCCTGGCACCCTCAGGTTTTAAGATATAAACAAGCAGTAATAGCTGTAAAGAATTTGTAAACAATTTACTTTTTACTCCTTTGGGGGGGGGGGGGAAAGAAAGTTCATCAGGTCTAACACAAAGAAAACTAGTCTTCTCTATAGATGTACTGACAGTGGTAGTTGTGAACATAACAAGCTTGTAATTACTATCTAATCATTTTATACTGGACAGAGAGAGTCAATCGTCCACACAAATATTTCAGATTAAAAAAAAAAGTGGCCCCCTCTCAATAAAAATGCTTTTCCGACTTTAAGATTTTTCCACTAAGCAATGACTATATGCAGCTTATCTCAATCATACAGTTCTATCCAAGAAATTTAATGCATGAAACCATAAAGGAGGATCCACATTATTCCCAAGGGGAGAGACCACCTGGGAGAGGATCCTGTGAGACAGTCTTCATGCCAAGGCATACGCCCCTGCTGCTGGCACCGCCCAGCTTGCTCTCCTGCTCCAAGGCTATCCAGAGCCTACCTGTACTGTGCATTTCCAAGGGCTCTTCCTTATCCTCCGGGGGAGAATTCGCAAATTCCTGGAAAGCAACGCAAGAAACAGAGCTATTTTCAATTGGGGTTTGATTTTAGGTTCTCTTCTCAAAGGCTAGTATCTAATCTAGATAAAGTTTAGCAAGTCCTATATGGGCATATAACATGTTACTGGCATCACAAAAGCCAACACACTCAAGGCCTTACATCTATCTCATCCTTGAATGGCGCTCTGGTTGGTTTGTATTCTGGATCTTCATCTTCTCTATCAAATTCTCCACTGTGAAAAATTTAAGAAAACAATTGTTTAAATCACATCAATGAGTAAGGAGGTGAGAGGAAAAGTACCAATCAACCTAGTAACTACTTTTAAGGCTTAATATCACTTTTAAGTAATATATATGTATGTATACATGTATGTATATATACATACATATAACATATACATATATGTATGTTACTGTATTTAAAGGGATTATTATGCCATATAGACAGGATCTACTGGTAAGCATCAAGTTCAAACCACACATAACTAAGTGCACAGGGAAACATAAGAACTAAACCCTGCCAATGGATATAGCACTGACATAAAGTTTATTAAAATTTTAGAACGTCCTTCTTACCCGTCCCCACCATCTGCTAGCATGTCTGTCCCTCTTTGCTCGGCAGCGATGGCCTTGGCATCGGGCATACCCACTCGTTCCAGAAAGCACAGTGCAGGGTCAGCTCGCATGGAGTTGTACTTCTCATAGCCTGGACCATGCCGCACCAGCCCACAGAGGACACACATAGAAACAAAGGAAGACCTTGTCACTGTCAAAACATCATAGCCCCGCCACAACACAGCCAGCTTGTTTCCCAGAAACATATATCATCATCTATGTTGAGCTAAGCAGACCGTTCAGCAGAGCAGTCTAGAGAACACTCATTCTAGGGAAGCCTTTGTGGGCCAACGTGTACATTGGAGAAGCTATTAGACTGACCACAAATACAGGGAGAAAAGGGTTCGGGGTAACAGCAGGGTGCCTGAAGATTTCTGACCGGATTTCCCCACCATCTAATTTTGCTTGACATTTAAAAGGCTTTATAGCGGTTCCTTATGACCTCTACAGGCTTCCAAGTCCACTCCCATCCCCCACGAGTATGTTTGGTCTTGCAGGAGCTCGCATGGCTGGCTGAAAAATCCCCATATACGTAAGGCCAGCGAACCTGTCTTATTAGGTTTAGGGTGATGCATGTCAGTAAGATGACACTGTTCCCTCTCTGGTTTTCAAGCTGCAATTTGCTTTTTGACTGCCCAAGTTGACTAGATGGAAAATGGCAGATCCCAACAGTGCACTGCGGGAAAATGATTTTGAGGCCGAGCTCACAGAACAGGCTGGAGTACATAGGCAGAACAGCACAATTCAATTAGGATGTGTACTACAACACACTGCTCCTAACTGCTGTGGAGCCGTAAGCCAAACTGTAATCATGAAAGGTTTTATAAGCCATCATTCTCCCCTTTAGTCAGGCTGGGCTGCTGAGAATACCTCCACGACCTCCGGAGAATTGGGATTATAATCAGGAACCGTTCACTGTATATATCATGCCAGTTCTGCATCCCCAGCCTTTCAAAGTTAACAAGGCTGCATCTCACTCGGGGGAGCGGTGAGTCCTCAGCACTGACATTTGTGAGATATTGCTTGGAACAAAGCCCAGGAGGCACTTGTACAGATTAATAGCAGAGGTTAAGCCCACCGTCCACTCTGACACTGGCTGGCAGAGTTAGTGAGGGAAGCCGTTCTGGAAGCAAAGTTTCGGGAAAGCGATGGTACAACTTGGCCATTACTAAAACAAATATGGTTTCTGTTTACAGCCAAGAAAGAAATGTTTTCTTCTCAAATACTCAACAAACATTCAAAAACAGCATCTGATATTTACAGTTCATATTAGATTTTTAGTACAGAAAAATGGTAGACGCCAAGAGGCCTTTGGAACGATCCTCATTAATATTATGACTTTGGAAAAGAGTACGCTAAGAGTTCTAAATAAAGATGAAGCCATGCAGTCAAGATGCATTCAAACAGAAACACCCCTTACCATGTTTGAACACTCCAATTAAGAGGGATTTATCTGCTTCTCTATCCCACCAGTCTGCAGGAACTTCAGCATGGAAAGGCTCAGGGATCCACACGTCTGCCTCACTGGAAAGACAGCCATGTAAGCACCTCTAAAATATGAGTGCTTGAAAGGAACCCTAGTCCCATGTGGTGAACACACACTCATGGGCCCTCCCTTTCACAAGAAGCATCGTACATGGTAGGGAAGTACTAGGAAAGGTGAAACAGAAGGGCAGTGGTCAGCAGCCAGAAGAGAGCCTCATCACTCGGGATCCCAGCTCAGAAGAGCAGCCACACACATACACACTCACTCACTCACACACACACACACACTCACAACACACTCACACACACAACACACTCACACACTCACTCTCACAACACACTCACACATACACACACTCACTCTCACACACACTCACTCTCACACACACTCACACACATTCACACGCACATACACACACTCACACTCACTCTCACACACACTCACTCTCACACACACACTCACACGCACTCACACACTCACGCTCACAACACACTCACATACACACACTCTCACACACTCACTCACACACACTCACACATTCACACGCACACATACTCTCTCACACACACACTCACACACACGCGTGCGTGCGTGCGGCCCTGCCCACGTCCTCACCACATCCCCAAGCCCAGAAGACAAATGCTTGCATTAAAGACATGGAAAGAAAGGAGGTGAGCTACGGAGGCTGTGAGGGTTCTACACACAACCCGTGGAGTTTCCCACCCACCTGGGCCAGAACAAATGTGCACTTGCACCAACCTTGAGTCAGCACCCTCGAGGATCTTATCTGCTTGGTCGCCTATCACTTCTTGTCTTAGGTAGTACAGCATGCGGACACGCAGCAGGACCCTGGAGAGGAAGACAGGGGGGGGGAAAGTTCTTAACTTCAGTGCTGTTTGCCAACAGTGGCTTTTGGCAGCTGCTGCTGTTCATCCATCATCCTGCCAAGGCTGATTAGCCATGCTGTATGGTAGGCTTGAAGCGTGACAGATGGTGGCACATAATCACCTCTGTGTGGTGCTTTCTGCTGGCTTCCAACAGGCCTGCCTGGCAACCGCGCTCGCTGCTCAGAGAGGGAGCGAGCTCAGCCCAGCCCGGGCGTACTTCATTTAGTCTACCTAGTGCAGCTTGTGAAGTTTAGACACGTACCCTACCACTGCCTCTGAAGTATTGAAGCAAGTTTGTAAACAACCGAGCAGATGGCTTTCAGTAACTGTTCTGCTTCATTATCTCATAAAATTTCCTCAGCTGCTGCCTTAATACCATTTTTGGAAGCACATCAGAAGTTGTAGGAATAAACGAGATATAAAATCTGGTTTTACTACCTTACAATAAACCCTCAATATGGAATGTCAGGTTTTTCAGATTACACAACTTTGCTTCCGAGAAAGGAAGATGGCGACGGGGATGGGCAGGAGGTGGGTCTTTACCCTACTCAGGGAATATTAAACACTTTCTATTTCTTGTAACATATTATCTGGGGACCTAAGCTGTGCTTTAGAAATAATAAACACTGCCACATTAAAATGTATCTGACTCATTGACACTCATTTTTTTATGAACCAGCACTGAAAACCCTTGACATTGTCAGGGCACAGGATTCTCTGTTTCGCTTGTGTTTCCATGGCTAAATGTGATTTTTAATTTTAAGTAACACTCACCTGCTATATCTCATGGGTAATCTCTCTATTCCAAACCCAGTCCTCAACAAGACAGCCCACATGTGCCTTTGGGATTGACCCCTGAAGATGACCCTCTCGGTGGAGCTTGGTTTCTTCCAGTGTTATTTCCCTAGCTGGATAAGCCTGTCACATACTCGCATGACACCCCAGTACCAGGGTTTCTCACTGACACACACTGGCTCATTTGGGGCAAGTTTTCATTTCCACGCTACAGATGTGAACACCGTTGGTGACAAAGGACGGGTTATAAATCCAAGGTCACAGAGGCACCTTGAGCTCAAGCACTCAGAACTAGGTCTCCCAAGACGTGGTGACTTGCCTCTAAAACATCAAAATGACAAGTGGGGAGGGGCAGCTTTACTAAAGCAGACTACTTCTGACCAGGCATCAGTAGACATGCTGTGAACCACCTACCCCGAGAGTCCACTCATGGCCAACATGGGTTTTGGATGAGCTGCAAACATCCAAACGTATGCCAGGATAGGCAGTTGCTATGGGGAATGCCTTTTCATCTTTCAATTTTCTTTCTCTTGCTAGCTCAGTGCATTAAGACGGACTTTGCCATACTGAACCCATAAAGGAAAACCGATGGTGTGGTTAGCAGGGCCTTCCTTCTGGTTAAAGAATCTGCAGGCCAGTGTCTTCTTCCACCGGATGCTCAGAAGGTGTAGTTCCGGTGGAAATCCCCTCTACCTGTGGCTGGACTCTTCACTTGACTCAAAGGCAGCGAGCCTGATGCTTTCTTTTCCTTTTAGTAGAAGACAGTTTCATTTGGGGTTTATGGTGTGGAGCACTCTATGAATTGCTGTGAACGCTTCCTTTTTTCTCCAGAGGGAAAGTCAGGAAGAAAAAGGATGGCCAGGACACAGCTCCCAAGCCCCCAGGCCTTGTCCACATTTTCTCACACATCCTGCCAGTGAGCATAGCCCAAGGCCCAGGGTTGCACACAGGACTTCCTAACCAGCCTCTCGGCTTCCTTCTTTCGCCTGTCTGCTCTCACAGTCTTCCTAGGAAGCCCCTCAACTGGGTCTCATTTTCTACCTGCCACTGATATGTCCTCACTTAGACAAGACTTAATCTCAAGGAATGGTCTATAGGCAAAGGACAATGGGATACTCTCTCCACTCCAGAGAAAAGCTAGGCTAGAATGTATCAACAGTGCTCTCCCGAGACTAAATGAAAGACATGAAGAACCCCAAGTTCATCACGTGTCCTAATTGGGGAGAACTCCCTAAGGAAGATTGCTACTGACAGGAGATCAGAGATCAAAAATCACCTCAGCCACACTGGCATTGGGGAAAAGGAAAAGTTGTTCTCACATTAAACCATTCATCTTCCTCTGTTTGAATGCAGAACTAGGCAGGCAAATGACCCGAAGTCTCGGTAAACTATACAGAGAGTTATGGTGATGGGCTACGGTTTTAGCAAGAGACACCATGCTACTACAGCAACAAGTTTCAAAGACATCAAATGCTCTGAAAGACCACTGGAAACTTTCAAGAGCCCCCTAGGTGAAGACGCAGGCGTCCGTGCTCAGGTAGGCTAGGGACTACAGGGGTGACAGGAAGTGCGTCGCTAGAGCACACTCTGTTCTTAACCAAGAATCCTTAGGTAAGTCACCCTGGCTGGAGACAAAACAGAACGGCTACCGAGGAGACACGAGCGCCTGCTGCAGGCACAGCTGCTCAGGGGGCTGAGGCAGGAGGAACTCTGTGAGTTTGGGCCATTTGGGCTTACGTCGTAGCAAGAATGATAGAACTAAAGCGAAAGCACGATGTAAATTCCCCAGGGTCCCCCAGTGGAAGCAGCAGGTTACAGGTGGGTTTCCATAAAATGAAGCACAACCTTCTGCCTACATATTAGCTCCAACTAGTCCGGGGCATCGCTGCTTGTGACAGGTAAATGCGGAAACAATCCAAATGTCCACCAGCTGATGGAAGGACAGCGTAGGGCACACAGGGTGGGAAGTATTCACCTGTCAGAAGGGTCCTGACACTATCTCCAACACGGCTGCATCTTGGGCACGGCGACAAGGGGGAAGCACTAGGTGTAGAGGGTAAACATGGACGCGCAAATAGGACGTGGCTGCAGCCGGGCAGCTGCAGGCACATAACAGGAGGAGCTCTTGCGTAAGAGGTACAGAGTGCCCGTTGGGAGTGATGATCAAGTGTCTGGCTTAGATGGCGGGGATGAGTACAGGGCGCTACGGATGCAACACATTGCTCACTTCCAAATGGGTCCAAGTGGCACAGGCATGTACTTCCTCACCACACGCGCCTAGCACGACTGCCTCCCTCTTCCTGGTACCTACTTGTTGCAGTGATGCTTCAAGTGCTTCTTGTAGCTGTCCTCTTGGAACAGGGCATCTGGGTTGCAGCCTGCCAGCCAGTCAGCATCCTGCACTACGGGCTGCGTACTCTGGGCCTTCACCTTCTTCCCCTTCCTGCCCCTCGGCACCGGGGCCGACAGACCTAGAAGCACCAGGGTTATGGTCATGGATGCCTTGGCACTGGACAGTACAGTGTCAGGGGCTGATACTGCAAGGGGCAGGTAGGAAAACAGTCTATGCTGCCATCCTTTACCAAATGGCAGTGTTCCTGGTAGCCGTTCGTGACCCAGTAGCACAAAGAACACAAGACCGACCTACCAGAATGATTGAGCAGGGCTCGAGTCTGGCCATCAGCTGTGGGAGTGATCAGGTCCCAGATAAAGCTCTTGATGTTCTCATCTCCTCTGTAGTGATTGAGGCAGTACACCAGGATGGCCCTACAGATGGTTTCTACGTCTTGCTCAGTGAGCTGACGTTTGTAGCGTCCATGGGACAGGATGTCTGTCCAGCGGCCCCAGCTGGAAAGCAAAGAGGCAGTATGCAGACAGAGTCTGGTTGCAGATATGACCTCACCGTGACAGCCAGGCTCCAGTACAGGGAAATCCTGGACCCACACTGGCATCAGTAACCTCTGGACGTAGGAAAGCAATGCAGGTATGGGCACAGAACACCTTACAGAGGAAACCACAAAGCCAGGAGTTGTATGGCCACTGAGACACCCATGTGGCTAATGACTTCCCTGGGCTATTGGTGGCTATGGCTGTCATTTTTAGAAAATACATGCAATCTGAGGAACTGGAAATTATTATACTGTGCTTGCTTGAAGCTGGAGGAGCTACTAGAAATCAAAGTCTACCACCTACCACCAAGAGATACCACAATACCACAATAACTAGTGAAGACATAACAGCCCCGTGCCTCCTTTTCAACAAGGAATGGTTACTTCCAACTCAGGAAAGGTGCCGAACCACGTCTCAGGTCCTCCCGGCGGGAGGACTAAGCATCGGGAAACGCATACACGTGGTGCCACCAGCACACAAACAGCAGTCACACTGTTCTGTCTTGGAAATAGCTACTACACAATAAACCGTCATAGGATGCAGAGGCTGCATGAGCTGTACCCGAGGGCGGAACCTCTCCACTGCCCTCTGTGGTAACTAAGAATCGTGCTTTGAGAACAGAGAAGACAGCAGCCCGTGCCTGGCCTGCCTCCCACCAAACCACTGTCCTTGCCTGCCGTTTTGAACTTTCTCAAGGCTGCCATGCACCTCTGGGCCTTGTGTTTACTTTGCCTTCCGTTCCTCATGTCTGGTGCACTACTGATGTCCACCAGGGACAGACTCCCTCTATGGCCCCTCCCAGCCCCAGAAGTGGGAAGCGCAGTTCCTGAGCTATGCCCTATATGGCTGCACGCTGAGCTTCTAGGCCCTCAGTCGCATCACCTTAGCATACTGCCATTTCTGCTAGCTCACCCTCCTGCCTTGGGTTGTACCTGCTTTGTGCACAGCGGTAGCCCTAGTGCCTGAGAGTATCCTAGCCCAGAGCCCCGCATGTGGTGGTTACTCAATCGGCAGCAGTAAAAGTGGGAAGAGGAGAAGACACGTGAGAGAATGCCCTGAGCACCCTCCTTAGAACTAGGAGTTAGAAATATCTGTTCCAGTCCTAAGGTTGCCAACAAAATCCCATCTATGCATACCAGGCTGAAACAAGGAAGCAGGTTCAAAGGGCTGAGGCTAGGATTCTGCTCTACCCAGAGCCAGGAGAGTTACCCCCTGTGCACAAACTAGGGTCAACCAGGTTGCTGGAACACAGGCTAGGTCTCGGCTGGCATCGGTGAGTTGCACACAGACATCTGTGAAACACCGTGTTTCTGTGGAACTGTCCCATGCATCGAGGACACACCAAAGGAGTTCCTGTCCTCAAAGAAAGGCTGACTGGGATCCCATCAAGACAGACACTGGTATGATGAGGCAGTAGGTCAGTGTACTAAGGGGACAGCTGTGAGGAATGCTGCAAGGGAGGCAGTCAAGCCTGCTGGTGGGGGCTGGGGACCCTGGGCAGAGCAGCCTAAATACGCTGGCAGAGGTTAGCAGGGCATGAGCAACAGGGGCGTGAGCGGAAACTAAGTTCCCACACAGACAGAGCTCGGACTACCCATGAGGAAGCATCTGCACGACAGACAACCCTGCAGGCCTCCTCACACATGTGCTTCCCCCTGTTCTGCATGAGCAGCGATCCGCTGGGAGAAATGCCACCGGCAGGGCAGCATCAAATCAATGGAAAGACACTTGGGTGGCAGTTTCTATTTTAATGGCATCTGCCTACAGCCTCACAATCTGTGAGTAAATTCAATCTACTGGTTGAGCTATTTACTGAGCCCCCTGTCATGTCACTCAAAGTGCTGTGTGGGTGCCATGCTGAATGAGACATGAAGCTGATGTGACTCATGATGGCTTGGGACCCAGCCTTCACCAAAGGACATTGGGGTTCAAATGGCCTCTTAGGCTTCAGTTGAGTTGGAGGAAAGTACACGAGTTGAGGTCTCTGCCTTTGATAAGTCTTTACAGCAGAAAACTATCGAAAGATAACTATGGGGCGCTGGAGAGATGGCTCAGAGGTTAAGAGCCCTGGCTGCTTTCCCAGAGGTTCTGAGTTCAATTCCCAGCAACCACAACCATCTATAATGAGATCTGGTGCCGTCTTCTGGTGTACAATCATGCATGCATGCATGCAGAATACTATTGTATACATAATAAATCTTTTAAAAAAGATAACTATGGTCATAAAGCTTATGTGACAATACAGTACCATGAGATTTTTGCAATTTTACATAGTTCTTAGTTTTTAATAATCTACAAGTAAATAGGAGTTGCCATAATTCCCAAGGTGCTAGCTAACACTCATAAATTCCAGTGACTTCTCTCTCCACACCCAGGAGAACTGGGACTTGGGATGTGTTGACCAAATGAGCCACAAAGGCTACAGAGTGTTAATGCAGAGGCATTTGGCTGGTTACACTAAGAGGAGCCATGCGGAGAAACAGAAACTGTTTGCCTGTGACAACTGAGAATTCTAGCTGTTGGGAAAATAATATGTGATTTCATGTAGTGAGTCGGCCTTACCCATAGACTAGCAGATTCTTCTCCACGCGGAAACACTCACTCCGGGCGTAGCCCTGTGACTTATCCTGGGGGCGCCGTGGCTTTGTGCATGGTTTTTCCTCAGAATCACTTTCCAGGTCAGAGAACTCCATGAGCTCATCCTCCTTCACTGCACTGTACAACCGGGTCTGCTTCCTTACTCGCGGAGTGTCAATAACCAGGTTGTTCTAACAAAGGAGCAAACGGAGTGAGATTTCAGACGCGCCTCTGGGTCCTATCAGGCAGCAGTCTGGATGGGACTTCTCACTCACCCTCCCGTTTAAGGCATCGATGTCCAGTTCCGCCTTCTTAGCCCACTTTTGCCAGAAATTTGGGTCATCCAAAGAAATGTCTGTCCTATTTCCAGATGCGACAAAACTGGCCTAAAAGGAGGAAAAGGTATGACTTACTTTGAGATACATTTCTGAGTCAGGATGCGAGGAAGCCCGCTTTCCACCAAATAAGCGCGTGCATCATCCTCTTGTGCAAGACAGTACAGTGAATGGGGGAGGAAAGGCTGCCCGCACACTTTCCACACCTGCCATTGCTTGTAAATGGAGGAAGGCCTTGAATTTGGCTCCACAAGGTACTGCTGGGAGCAGATCTTAAAAACCACCTGTCTACAAGAAAATGCTTGGACCACACTTCGGAGCACTCATAGAAGAAGAAAGCCTCAGAGATGATCATGGCAGGGCACACGCAAAGGCCCAGAGGGGAAGGACCAAAATAAGGGGACTTAAGGAAAAGCAGCCATGGCAAGTCAATGAGGGCCAAGGCCAGAGCAAGGGGCCCTTGTATGTGCTGTCGGCAGTCCGGCCTAATGCTGAGCACGAACTATTTAAACACGGGGCAAACTCAAGATGGACATGGCCATGCCTAGAGCTGCCTGGTGGAGAAGTTATAGCGACACCCTGCGGTGTGCACATTAGAGCACACCCCTGTGTGTAGTTAGTTCATACAAGAAATGACTAAAAATGAAGAACAGAAGACTTCCTAAAAAGACATTTTTCAAAAGGTAAAGTTAACAGAGGTAGACATCAGGCAGATGTAAAGCACTAAAGGGAGGACACCAAGAAAACGCCACATTCAAGCCTGGCGTCTGCACGTTGATGGGGTGGGGGTGGGTGTGGTTCTGTCTATATGTTTCTCTTATTGGTCGATGAATAAAACAGTTTGGCCAATAGCCAGCAGAGGCAGGAACACAGGCGATGGGCGTCTCAAAGAGTAACAGGTCCGGGCATTCTCCGGTAAGCCAAGACCATGAGGAAATACATAGATTGATAGAAATGGGTTAATAGTTAAGACAGAGCTAGGCAGTAAGAAGCCCTAGTCATCGGCCAACGGTTTATAAATTAATATATGTCTCTGTGTGCTTATTTGAGGCTGAAGATAGGCGGGATCTGGTGGGAAAGAAACTCTAGTTACAGCATGTAACTCAGATAGACCATGTGTGCTTCCATGAGTCTGTGTGTGTGCGTGTACGCGCGCTTATGTGCACATATGCAAACACGCATCCGTGTTAGTCTTGCACATATTGAACTTATAATGCATGTCAGATTGGAGGAAATGTCCTATAAGAGATTCAAAGACGTGAGGGCAGAGAGCCCAGAAGTGAGCCTTGGGGGCAACAGAGGAGCTCAATGCCCTCCTCACACCACATAAACGGGTGGAAAATGGTAATGTCGAGGACATGGGACATACAACTCTAATACACAGGTGTGGGAAAGCAACAGGGAACAGCCACTCTAAAAAACAAGCTGGGGCTCAACAATTTTAGCCACCAGGAAAACGGAAACTAAAACACGAGTGAACTCGTGTTCATTGCCAGTGGGAATGCAAACTCGTGGGGCCACTATGGAAGCTAATGTGGAGGTCCCTCAGAACGCTAAAAATAGAACCGTGAGATAAGCCAGCTATGCCACTTGAGTGTATTCCGAAGGAAGGACTCCAAGTCAACACACCACAGAGACACTTACACACCCATGTTTTACAATAGCCAGGAAACGGAACCCGCCTTGATGTCCAACAACAGACGAACTGATAAAGAAAATGCTCTGTCTAGCTACACACCAATGGAACTTTATTTAGCTGCAAAGAAAAATGAAATCTTGACACTTGAGGGAAAACAGATAGAGCTGGAAACCATATGTTAAGCAAAATAAGTCAGGCTCAGAAAGACACAGTTTTCTTCCACATATGAACCTAGATATTGTGTGTGTGTGTGTGTGTGTGTGCATGCGTGCGTGTTGTGTGTGTGCGCGCGCACACGCATGCATATGTATGTGCATAAATCAGGTCATGAAGCTACAGGAAGAGATTTTAAGCAAAAGGGTAAGAAGAATAACGGAACACTTGTGGCATGAAGGCAGAAGAAGGGGCTTCTGCCGAGCGGAAGGGGGCCCGTAGAGGGACTGCGAAGGGTATGGAGGACAGTACGGGGACAGCGACACAGTACAAGAACACATGCATGATGAAAATACCACAGTGAAGCCCACTATTTCTATGCTAACTTAAATTTTTTCTAATTCATTTCAAAGGAAAGAAAGAAACAAACAAACAAGCCTAGTCTGCTAGTTCCTTAAAAGGCAAGCACACACATGTGAGACTTAGGTTCAATCCGGATGGGGCGGAGACAGCTACCATCCCTCTCGAGTAGTTCCCTTCCTGGCATAGGCCAGGAAGAAATGAAATGTGTCCAAGCATAAACTACCTCAGAAATGTTCATTAAAAATCACCAAATAAGCTGGATGGTGACGTAGGCCTTCAATCCCTGTACCTGGGAGACAGAGGAAGGTGGACCTCAGTGAGTTCAAGGCCAGCCTAGTCTACAGAGTGAGTTCCAGGACAGCCAGGGATCAACAGAGAAACCCTGTTTAGAAAAAAAACTAGGGGGAAAAAGCAATCCCAAAGTAGACATAACCCTAATTCATCACCAATTAGCAATAAATAAATAACCTGAATATCCATTATCACCTGGTCACCTTGTGATGTCCATACAGTAGAACACTGTACACATACAAAGGAACAAAGGAACAATATATACTACAAGGATGAACTTCAAAACCATTATGGAGGTGTATAAAAACATGCACAAATGACCACACACGGCGTAACTCCACTTAAAATGGTGTGTCTGGGGCAGATAAAGCTATAAAGAAAGTACACGTGGTTTGCAGGGCTGGCTGAAGCAAGAGGCGTAGAGTCTGATTGCTAATAGGCATGAGCATCTTTCTGAGGCAACAGGAACATTCTAAACTTAAGATAGCGCTAGCAGTTGCACAGACCTGTAATATGTCAAAGGCACATAGGAAAGTATAGCACAGTTTAGCAAAACTAAAAAGTAGAGCGAGCCTCAGTGTGGGTGCCTGGAATACTAGCAAGTAGCTTTTAAGGTCGGTCAGGGCTCAGAGTATCCTTGTCCATAGCAGGCTGGATATAGAAGAGTGTGTGGGATAAGCTGTGGGGCGCAGGCAGTGCCCAGTGCTGGAATAGGACATGATGGGTGCATTTCAGCTACGGGCAGAGTTATGGAGCTGTAGCTAGAGAGAAAATAAGACTTTAAACGCAGGGTGCCTTGATCGTCCTTTCAGGTTGTTTAGGGGAGCAGAGAGAGGGTGGTCAGAGAACTAGATTCATAAGAGAGAAGGATGGACAAAGAACACAAGAGAGGAACATCAAGCCCTCCCCCACACCCCCTCCCACACACACAGAAGGGAACCCATGTACAAAGGCTGCCTTATGGTTGGGTGGTGGTGGCACACACCTTTAATCCCAGCACACAGGAGGCAGAGGTGGTGAGTTCCAGGACAGCCAAGGCTACACAGAGAAACCCTGCCTCAAAAACAAACAAACAAACAACAACAAAAGAATGCCTTATGTGTTGGAGTTGCCAGGGAATTAATAAATGGTATTATAATTCATAACGAAAAGCCAAAGTTCTGCTTAATGTTTTGCTATCCCTTCGTAAGTACTCTTCAGGAGCTCTAGCTCGCTTCCCTAAAGACCTGGGCCCTTAGGCGGATTCGAACCTTAGCAAACGTGGAACCTTTTCCTTCCGACTCAATGGTAATAGTGTGGGTTCGACGAAGGAGAATCTGGTCAATGTCCTCCTCACAGAATTTAGAGCCTTCATCTTCCTCGTCCATAAGTGCACCATAAGCCCCTTTTCGTAGAAGGTCTTCTATCTCCTTCTTGGAAAGCTGTTGTACCTGTTCCAGAGAAAGTTTTAAGTAGTCAAAGTAATTTAGAATTAAAAACAGAAACGAGATGTCTTAAGAAAGTTTACTTCTAACAAAGGAAAATGAAATAAAATATGCTTAAATTCTGAGGTGGAAAAAAATAGCCAGTAGAGCGTGGTGATAAACACCTTTAGTTCCAGAAATTGGGAGGCAGAGAGACACATGGATCTCTGTGAGTTCCAGGCCAGCCAAAGCTGTCTCAAGAAAACAAACAAACAATAACAACAACAAAAAACAAAAACAAAAACAAAACAGATGTCAAATAATTTGGTACTCTAATAATTTGGTACTCGGCTTCATAGAGACATTAGCAAGGACGAACACACGGCTTGGGCATGCCATCTTACCCCATTTGTGGCATTTTCTCTTCCACTCATAGACTGTAACACAGCTTTGTCCAGACCCAGCTTCAAACTAGCCTTGTCAAACATCTCCCTTTCATAGGAGTTCCTCGTAATCAGCCTGTAGATTTTCACAGATTTGCTCTGCCCTATTCTGTGGCATCTAGCCTGAGCCTGGAAGAAAAAGAAAAATCAACGGTTGTTGTAATGGTATCCTCCCTAAATTCACAGGTTGGAAAGCTGATCTCAATGTGATTTAGAGGTGGGGACTTAACAGGTAATTAGGTCACGAGGATGGTGCCCTAATGAATGGGATTAGCCTCCTGTAAGACAAGGGAGGAGGGGGAGTGTGTTCCAGGAAAACAGCTGTCTGTACAGCAGTTTCTCATCAACAACCCCATCTTGCTGGCATCTAAACCTCACACTTTGAGCTATAGAACCCTGAGAAAGGTGTGGGGATTGTTTCAACTGTCCAGTCGAGTCATTTTTGTTGCGGCAGCCAAAAGTGAGCAGCACAACTGCTTAAGAAACACATGGCTCTGGCCAGTCCGAAGACTTCATGCCCCAGTAATTAGAGGTGCAGCAGCTTAGAAGGGGTTAACACATTAAGGGTTTTCCTCTCAGACACCGAATCAGCTGATGACCAGGCAGGAGACATCAGCTGGTGGGACTGATCGGAGAGGCACAGGGCAGCCTGTCTCCACTTACCTGGAGGTCGTTCTGAGGGTTCCAGTCAGAGTCAAAGATGATGCAGGTATCAGCAGCAGTGAGATTAATGCCCAGACCTCCTGCCCTTGTGCACAGGAGGAAGACAAATCTATCGGAATCGGGTTTGGAGAATCTGTCAATGGCTGCCTGGCGGAGGTTGCCTCTGACTCGGCCATCAATCCTCTCATATGGGTACCTGCAAATACAGCAGGAGGTCTGACAAACCGCCACTAATCGCTCCTCTTTACTGTCAAGTAAGCAGTCCACTCTGGACTCACACCACAGAAGGAGCCAGCAACGAATTTCAGATCAGAGTTGTTTTAGCAGACAACTGCCTGAACACTCAAAGATTTTCACTTTACTTTCTGTTAAGGAACTAGCCAAGTCCTAAAAGTAGCTGATAACATACAGTTTTAATTTAATTTAATTTGTTTTTAATTTTCCAGACAGGGTTTCTCTGTGTAGCTTTGAAGCCTGTCCTGGAACTCACTCTGTAGACCAGGCTGGCCTTGAACTCAGACGAGGATCTGCCTGCCTCTGCCTCCCTAGTGCTGCATTTAAAGGCATGCGCTACTACCACCCAGCCAGTTTTAAGTAAGAACTTAAGTATGCAGTGGGGAAGAGGGAGAGGTTGAAACACCTAATCCCAGCACTAGGGAGGCAGAGTTCTGAGTTCCAGGCCAGCCTGCTCTATAGAGTGTGTTCCACTGTCTCAAAAACAAAACAAAAAACAAACAAACAAAAAAACCAGACAAAGGAAACCCTATGCAATGGCCCCCTGAAGCCATCAGGTAAGATGCCCTTATATACAACTGTGGTTTCAAAGGGTGAAGTGATACATTGTTTCTATCCACCACCTCCCTTGCAACTGTCACTTCTAGGTGACCCACTCAGAGTCCTGCCCTTTCTTTCTGTTGTTTTTGTGGGGAGGCCTCACCGTCTCTGAATGAGATAGTCTTCCAGGATGTCCAAGCAGCGCACCATCTGGGAAAAGATGAGCACCCTGTGGCCACCAGCCTTCAGCTTTGGCAGCAGCTTGTCAATCAGCACCAGCTTGCCAGCAGCCTGGATCATTGCCTGGAGCTGAAAATCTGGAGACTCTGCATTGTGTGTTTCTTTAAACTCTTCCAAAATTTTCTCTTCAGCACCTGCAGAGATTGGACAGCATGACACGAACACTGTAAAGGGTTTTTATTACCAAAAACAATGGATTTGCTTTCAAAACCCACAACAGACTGGCAGAATTAGAATATCCCATTCACGTTTAAGAGCAGGAAGCCACCTGCTTGCTCAAAGTTGGATCCACACACAACTGCAGGCCCACAAAAGGGACCAGAGCTTTAGGTCCCATACATTGAAGCATCCGGGGAAGAGATCCACAGTTTCTAACAACCAAATATTTGCTGTCTATACTAAAAACAATTCAAAATAAAAACAAACAAACAAACAAACAAACAAAGACATCCAAACTTCAACAACAGGCCATTAGGCCAGAAGTGGCAGAAGCAAGCCAAGGGCCAGAAACCTATAGAAAGCCCAGAGCCTGAACTGCTGGCAGAGGCACTGCCTACCGAATAAAATACATCCTCAGTTCTATCTTGAGTTACCCAAACCCTGTGAAATTAAAACCACAACCGACCCCAAGGCTTCCCTGCCGAACTTCCTTCTCCTCACCGTTTCCTCCCTGTGGAAACTTGGGTTGCTAGAGGGGCCTCCTGGGAAGGGCATGCTTCCAGAAATGAAGTCTCAACACTACCTCCTCCCACTCCTCCACCCCATGGTGTGGGGCTCAGGAAGCAGCAGCTGATGCTTCTTTTGCTGCTCAGGTGATTTGGCCGGGATCTGGCCTCCTCCACGGCCTCTAGGGCTCCCCAGTAGGCAGTGCTGTGTGTACTTACTCCCCCACCCCAGCTGTTCTTCAGAAAGAACACCAAAATTAACCACCTAAAGCGGTCACTTCCCACCCTTACACCGCACCAGGAACGTGACCCTCCCTCCCCACCACTGTCTGAAATGTAAACTGTAGTGACACATGAGACAGGGTACGAAGTCCTCCCAAAGGTTTCTGAAGGTCTGGGCAGACAGGCCAGTCAGACGGCACCTCCAGCATCAAGCTGGTCCCGCTTTCCATGAAAGGTGCCTGTGAGACCGTCCTTAGGAGGTCACAGGCAGAGCACTGTGTCAGTTAAGAATCGTCAAGGACAGACTGGAGCCACTTGCTGTGCGGTGCAAGTGCCAGGACATCCACAGAGCACATGACCTTTTCACAAAGGGAGACTGGCAGAAAATGCCAGCTCTTTTGGAACGGGCTAACCCTCACTCCCCCCACCACAGGAGCAAAAAGCTGAGATTCAGATTTTTTTTTTTTTTCTCCTGTGAGTGTGGAAGCAGGACCAAGGGAAGACAAAGAAAAATGCTGCTTAAGACACTAGCAAATGTGTCTGTGCTTGAAGGCGATGGTGCTCGTAAGCCTGGGATGTGCAAACCCAGGCTTTAGATTCACAGAGCTCCCATGCTCAGGGGACAAAGTAAAATATCACATTAGATCCTTTAGAAAGTTTATTTGTATAATGCATCATTATAAGGTGTTTACAATTTAGGAATAAATTTTTAACTTTGACAATGTTTGGGCATTCTTTGTCTATGGGGCATACAATCCATACTTAAAATGAAATATGATGTCATTTAAAATAAGTTAATGATCAAGGAGTAGCTTCCAAAAAAATGATGTTTTTACTTTGAAAATGCAAATGTCAGATAGGCTGGAATTACTTTAGTTTTAAAAAATTGAAATATAAAGAACTCAAATAGAGAAATCTGAACTTACACTATAAAAATTTAAACTTATTAACAATGAGCAAAATAACTATCATGCCTTTTCAATGAGACCCATAATTTCTTATCTTTTAATTTTCAGGATTTATTTTAAAGTAAGTAAGAGTGTGTGTGTGTGTGTGCATGTGAGCCCAGATGCCTGCAGAAGTCAGAGGCATCTGATCCCTGCAAAGATTACAAGTTGTTTGTAAGCCACCTTCTGCGATGTGAGTGCCAGGAATCCAACTCAGGTCCCTCTCCTCTGAGCATCTCTCCATTACAACTGAGCATCTCTCCAAAACCTCTGAGTGTCTCTCCATAACCTCTGAGCATCTCTCCATAACCTCTGAACATCTCTCCATAACCTCTGAGCGTCTCTCCATAACCACTGAGTGTTTCTCCAGCCCCTATAACTTAACAGTAAGAAAGGAAACAATATATTCTTTTTTTTTTTTTTTTGCAAAATATGTGGAATTGACCCATTTTATTAGGAATTCAAGTGCTTCCAGGATAGTTTATACCAGCAGTCCTTCGTTGTTGACTTTGCTTTTGTTCGTTGTTTTTTTGGGACAGGATTTCTCTGTGTAGCCCTGGTTGTCCTGGAACTGGAACTCACTGTGGAGACCAGGCTGGCCCCAAACTCACAGGGATCTGCCTGCTTCTGCCCTTTGAGTGCTGGATTAAAGGAGTGTGCCACCACTGCCAGGCCCCTTTACAGGTCTTTTAGTACCGTATTTATTATGGCACGTGGGAAGAGAGGCAGGTTGTGGGAGAGGGTAGCAATTTCTGCTCTATGTATCACAGTCAAATTTTTAAAAATTTAAAGATTTCCTATGATATTAGATATGAAAACAGTAACTGGACATGGATTATGATCGATCAAACTGCCCTTAATTAAAGTGAGGATGGTACTGTATTCATCAATACATATGCATATCAAAGCCAACTTGAAATAAGAGTGGAGTTTTCTTACTTCAACAGAGAACTGCTATTTTGGCAATGCCTATAATGTCATCTACGTATACTGGCCATTAACAAACAGGAAAACATCTAGTTCTTAAAGGTTAACAGAAAAAAAGATACCATTTCCCCCCCTCTAAAATATATCCCACTAGGTAAATCTTAAGTTTTGTTTTCTCAAAACATCGTATTTTCTTCACCCTTCCTCCAACGAACTATAACAAACAATGACTCCATGTCACTTCCAACTATCAGGGGACACTGGACAGGCCTTCACCTTTCTCATTCTCACATCAGGAATAAAACTTTATCCAAACAATGCTTAGGTCAGTACTGACAGCTCTCGTCAGGCTATCTGGTTATCTGCCTTTAGCAACACTGAGTGCTTGCTATATGCTGGGCCTCTCGTCACATATCCTTTGTTTACTACCAGCCTTCCAGCATTTTCTCCTATCACGTGTACTTTACCACCTATGCACCTGTTCCTCTGCCATGGCCAGTTCATAAGAACTTAGTACGTACAATTAAAACTTCCTTATGAATGCTAATTGTGGATAGCACTGGTTCGTGAGAGGAGACACCTTTTCAGATCCTGGATGAGAATGTACAGCTGGGCCCTGGACAGTCTGTAAAACACACTGTCCCCTTCCCTACGTTCTCCTGGAGCTGAGAGCCTAGGGTGTTTTTAAAAAGAAAAAACCTATACTCTGCAAAACACAAGAGGTATAAGGACACCTGCTTAACAGATATTTTGCTGCTTACTCTAGGGACAGAGGTGCTTACCTCAAGGTATGACAATCGGAACAAACACCTTGAGGAGTCCTAAAGGGCTCAGGAAGAAAAGCTATTCAGGAGACCCTAGAGAAAAATCAGACACGGAAAAGACCCACCAGCCATGTTCTGTGGAGAAAACCTCGGCACTGCATATAACTAACCTGCGGGAGTATGGAGACTTGAGGCACTGGAGTGGCCATCTCATGACGATGTCACAAAGGGCCCGCCAGCGCCATGAATCCTTTGGGAAATGCCGCTTTTCCTCCTCTTTCCCACTGGAGATAGTTACTGTCTACTTTCTTTCTATAGGCTACGAATGAACTCAGGCGTGCCCTCCACTCACGCCAATATTTCTGCTAAGTCCCAACTCACTGACAGGCTGGCTGACACTAACGACTCACAGACTCACAATGGCATGATTAGGGGGCTAGCATAATAAGCACGTAAGGATCACACAGGCACCCTTCAGAAAACAAAACCAAAAACACTACTTTCAGAAAGGAGCTCACAGATGTCACTCCAGAGCAGGCCTGGCGCTCTACACTCTGAGGCTATGGTCCAGGCAGACACTACTTTTCCTGCATTAACAAGGGCATGCAGGGAGGTGAACAGGGTGACCACGGGAAAAGGTGGGTAACTCTTTAGGCAGCTGACCTTGACTCTCATAGATTAGACGGAAGAGGCTTTGTCCTCCCTAACTGCACTGCTAGCCTATTGCAAAGACCCCAACTTAGCCTGCCATCACAGAATGCAGTGCCCAGATCACGGCCACCACCCTCCAGCTCAGCTTGAAGCTTGCTTGTCTGTCTGTCCTTCCTTCCGTGTTTTTTATATTGCCTGTGATCAGAACCTCTGTTGTTTTCATTTTTTAAGGCAGGCTCTTGTGAACAACAACTGCCCCCTGGGTCTCCCTGGGCTGGCCTCAAATTTGCTACATAATTAACAACAACCCTGAACATCTGATCCTCCTGCCTCTACTTCCTCAGTGCTGGGCTTCTAGGCCTAAGCCTCCACACCTGGCTCTATGCTGTGTGCTGGGATGGAACCCAGAGCTTCCAACAGGCTCAGGTGGGCACTCTTCCAACTGAGGCACACCCTCAGCCCCACAGACACATCTCTAACCAGTGCTCAGCTCAAACACCTGCCATGGCTTCTCTCCACCCACAGTCCCGTCTGTGACCCCAGGGTCCAATGTGCTTATGGCACAGTCTCCTTGTGTCTCACACACTGCTGAACTTTGGGCAAGATCGCCTTTGCTCTTTCTTTGCTTGTGTTAGGTCGTCAGCCTCAGCAACCTCTCTCTTTCTGGTCCAGCCTGGCAAAACCCTTGTCTCATACATTATCTTCCTCTGAGACTTCTCATCTCAATCCCCCAATACCCCGGCAGCTCCCTCTAAGTCCATACTGGCTGTGCTCGTACAGGCCTGGGGCACTCACCTCCAAGCATTTAACCCATGGAAGTCACATGTCACTACGGAGTTAGAAAACAGTCTCCATCAGTGACAGGGACGATATAATAGACAAGACTTAGAAAAGATTCCTTTGCATTTTCCAGGAGGCATGCACCAAAGGCCTCCAGACTATACGTGATCTAAGGTCACTTTTCCGAGAGACGCCCACACGGGGATGCTCTTAAGTGCTTTGGAATTAAACACCCACCTCCCTTCCAAAATGACCTGGCAGGGCTCCTGTCTTCAGCAGCCAGCCCCTCCTGACACCACCTATCCCTGGGGCAAACACCTGCTTTCAGATGAGGGGGATTCGTAACAGGCAAGATGGCGGAGGAACTTCCAGGTTCATGGGAGCTCTGGCCACTAACCTCAGCCACAACAAAAGAGGGTATCCCCCAAGAGCAGAGACAGGGCTGTGACAAACACACACTGTGAGAGCCTCGGCACAGGGGCAGAGGGAAGCTTCTGAAGCTTGTACCAACCTCCGTCTTAACAAGCTCCAGGCAGGCAGGCAAGCAGGCAGGCAGGCAGGCAGGCAGGCTTACCATTGATTAGATAGGGAGGCAGGCAGGCTTACCATTGATTAGATAGGGATGATTGCAGCACTTTCTCAACTCCATCATAGTGTTTAAAAGGTTAGGTACGTTAGCTTGTCCACCACCTTTGGAAAGAAATGTAAAATTCTTCTCAAGGATGGCTCGGTAATATTTCTTCTGAATGTTTGTTAGCTCAACTTCAATAATAGTTTCTTCTTTGGGGGCCAAGTTCTTTTCTACATCCTCTTTGAGACGTCTCAACATCATTGGCTTTAGAATAGCCTGCAGTTTTTGCACCTAAAAAAGGACCTCATGTCAATACTGGTATCTCCATTCGCTTGGGTGTTAAAACATTCTGGCGTATTGAAAACGGGAAGACTGTCTTACATATTTAATATCCATGTTCAGTTTCCAAAGCCTAGGAGGAGTATAGAGGAGCTAACCTTTGTGTGGCCATAAGAGAAATTCAGGGAGATTGGGTGGCTTATGTCAAAGAGAAAACTTCACCTATCCAGAATTCCTGAATGGCTTGAAGGGCTTGAAACCCCAGAGCAGGTGTTGGGGGGAGGGAGGGTATTTATTTAGTTTTCCCTCTTGTCTTAGCCACGGAGATAAACAGGAAGAGGGCAGGAGCAATGTCACAGGGTCTGTGCTTCTCTTCCTTTGTGGAAAGAGATGAAGGATGAGAGTCAGGCATCACCCTGTATCAGTGACCAAACCAGGGATGAACGTCACCCTCTGGTCCCCTTTTCATGGACTGGCACAGCACTGTTACCTTACGGAGGAGAAGTGAAATGGACCACACTCTGGATGGAACCAGGAGGTTTTAGCCAGTAAGCTGGAAACGGGGCAAATAAGTTCAAGCTTACAAATACATGTTTGCTTGTTTTTCAAAATTAGTGAGGTGTAGGTCTTTTCTGGCTCCGCATGAATTATATTCATACAACTCTTATGGTGCCTACAGCAAGCACGTGCTTCTCACACACAAGCCATTTGACTTCTCCCAGAAATGCAGCGCCGGGCCAGGTGTACCTCCCTCCCATTTTAAAATGAAAATGAGTAGGCTTGAAGCAGTACGGCTCAGAACGAAAGGAAGGACCCAAAACTCCAGTGGACAAGTGGTTCTACAAACCCCGTGGGGCTTCTGTCACTAACCTGGAAGTATGTGCTGCAGAAATGCTAACCCAAATGGCACAAAATTCTCAGAAAGTTAGGATTGTAAATAATCTGCCTATAAAAACTCAACAGGCTTTTGTGGGGGCTGAGGGTCAAACAAGATCCCCTCTCTTAATGGTGACTTGAAGTGTTTGCAAGGGTGGCCAATATTGTGGCATAACCCTTACATCTTCAAATTCACAGAAGCCAAAGCTTCGTCATCTCGGGAGAGTTCTTTTTCAGTTTTGTGACAGGCAAATGGAAGGGGTTAAGTACCTGCTCTTCCGTTTTCAGATCACCAAATTCTTGCATAAAGGTTGTTTCTGAAGGGAAGCGGCTTGGCTCCAAGAAATGAAGCAGGCTGAAGAGCTCTTCCACGGTGTTCTGCAAGGGGGTCCCCGTCAGCAGCACTTTGTGTTCCTATAAGAACATGAGGGAAACAGCATGCCTAACTGGAACAGAACAATTTCTTAAAGCTAACACGTTTCCCTCTGCATCTATTCTCCCCTACTTCTGCTCACTGTGTGTGTGCGCGCGTGCGCGCGCCAGCATCTGCCATACACAAGGTGTACAGTTCAGAACAAAGGGAAAGAAATGCGGGCCGCATGGTTCCTGCTTCAGGTAACCGCAAACACGGAGAACACCATGGCTTCTCTGTGCCCTGTCAGTCTATTTCTCCTGAGTTTTCTAGGTTGATATTTAAGGGTGCGTGTTGTCTAAGTCCTCCAATCACAGTGTTTTCTTTCTCCACTGTAGTGAAATTTTTCCTGAAGTCCCAAGACTCAGTTACACGCTCCCTTCTGTTCTCCACATCAGCAGGACGCTCACCTTTCCATCTGCTTCCTGCATGACTCACCACAGAGACAAAAGAAGTGCTTCTAAATGCAACAGCACATGAAAAATGACTCTGTTCTGTGAAAATTTCCAACTAGCAAAGAGGTTGGCTTAGCTTTAAATATCAAAATCACTTTAAAAAAAAAAATCCAACGCTAACTCTAGCTTCATGTCTCTGAAGTACATTATGTCTTTCTTCAGCTAGTCTTCCCGTTTGTGAGCCCCTCTGTCCAACTCTTCCTGTTCCATCCCTTCCTATTTCTACACTGGCAACAGAGACGCCTTTTAGATTGAACAGGATTAACAATGGTAAATTAATTTTTTTAAAAAGTCTTTTTGGGACAGGGTCTCGTGTGTCCCATGTTGGCTTTGAACTTATGATCCTCCTGCCTCCACCTTCCAGGTGTTGAGATGCCAGGCACACATCACCACACCAGATTTTATAGAGGGCTTTGGGTGCCAGGTCAAACCAACGTAGGTCTTTGTGGATGTTAGGCTCTCTCAACTGAGCTACTCCACTCTTAACCCTGAGCTTATACATTTTGAAAGCCTTAATAGTTCCTTCGTTGTTTGGTATCTGGCACATAACACAACAAAAATATTTTAGGAAGTGACTGTTTCAAAAGGAAGATTTCCTGGTTTAACTTGAAATCTGAGCATGCAGGACAAATGCTCACTAAACCCTAGTGAGATAGTCTAAGTAATGGCGCTATCTACAAGGTCTACCTGTCAATCAAGGTCCTTAACATCAAGGAGAAGCAGCTCTATGTTTTTGTTCCTTTTTCATTCCTCTCTGCACGAGTCTCCGATTAAAGAAGATGGATGCATCACCATCACATTAGGCTCACAAAGTGTGAGCAATTCTTCTGACTGGGGTGTTGCAAGGGCCATGATCACTGACTTGCCAACGTCCTGAATGACGTCACCCAGGACTGTGTGAAAGTACAGTCACAGAAGGAGGACAGAATCACCGTGATGGGAGGAATGGTACTGATGTCGAAGTGACTGTCCTGGATCTTTCTCCTACTCTCTTACTAGGGTAAGCTATGAATGCTTAACTTAAAAAAATAAAGACTTCTAAGTAAGCTCATTTCAAAGTAAACTTATTTGGAAAAAGAGAACCCTATCTTGAGCTGTTGGGATTATCACCTCCAGTCTCGACGGAGAGGCAGAGATGCTTCTGCCTTGAAAACATGATTGCTCTCATCAGGCCAGATGGAGGATTGTACTTAATTTCATTTTAGCAACACATTTTTGTGTGGAGCCTCCTGTCAATGACTGAGGAGACAATAGAATCAACTAAGATCTACAACAATCTCGTGATAGCCCCTTTGTTGAGGGCTTTCCTTTCAGAGCTCCTATAGAGGACCATAGTAACCATGAGTACCCCTCCACATCTCCACTTCCTTTGCCACGGAGTAGAAAAGACACCCAATAGTCTTCTTTGACTTAGAGATCATCTTCATCAAGCACACGCTCATTCTACCTCAGTCTAGTGCAAGTAACAACAATCTCTGAGATGTAGGGCCCTGCCTACACAGGGCTCCTTCTCACTATGTGATTGCATCAAGAGTATAGAGGGTCAAATGGCAAAGTTAGAATTTAAGCACCAAGCAACCAGCTATTCTGAACTGTATCAATACAAAGACATTTTGAATTTGAACAACAACAGTATCTTCTTCCTTAAAAAAGCATCTCTTTTGAGATGGGTCATTGGAGACTTTCAGTAAATTGGCCAAAATGTATTATAGGCACACTGGCTGTGACATTCAGAACCTAGGACTCGTCTCCCACAGCAAGGGGAAGCCTCAGCCTCCTGTCTTACTCAGTGAGGAAAATATTATTTCCCTATGTGCTATTATGCATAAAAGATAAATTTTTTGATGTGTAACAGAAAAGTTGCCTCTAATTCCAGATCCCAATCCATTATTAAAATATTAATTTCTTATATTTTTGGTTATGAGCCTAGCTGAGACATTTCTCCAGCCCTAAAACGTTAATTTCTAAAGTACCTCAAAGGCAAGTAAATTTTTTTTTGCTAAATTTTCCTTGCTAAAAGTAAGGAAATTTTTCTCACTAGTAAAGGAGTGTTTTACAATAAGAACCCACTGTTTTGAGACATGGGAACTAATAATAAAATACAACTTAAGACAAACTCAGCCACATGACATTACGCCTTCAGAAAGAGACCATACAACCAACCATCTCTTAGTGAATCACCATAAAGCACATTCCTACTCTGTAGATAGTTAAGGTCGGTTATGAACATCTGTGTTTACCTGCAAAGGAAGGATTATTTCACCGCACTGCTCAAGTGTCACCCAGAGAAAACCAAAGACAGCTAGGAGTTGTTCCTGCTATAAAACTCCAAGGCAAAGACCTTTCTCTGCTTCTAAATGCTCACGCCGCTTTGCGGACTGGCTACCTAAATCGGTGAGCTGCTTTACAAAAGACTTAGGAGAATGCTAAGTTGTTCGACAGAAAAATGGGCAATGCTACTCTAAGTAGGAAACATCAGTCAAGGTTCTTCTTCAAGCACAATTAGATTTGGCTCGTTTATGATTAAAAGAATGGCTGGCTAGTGCAAGCCCTTGCAAAGCTCTGATGGAGAGTTCTAGCATCTTTTTAGTAGCTGAGGTCTTCAGTAAAATGTAGGTAGCTCTGAACATGCAATGCAGAAAGTCCCTCCCACTCTCGATAACAAGAGATCTAGAGAGGTGCTTTAGAGTCTCAAAAGTCATCAAATCTGCCAACACAACTTAAATGACACATCAGAAATGAGAGAGGCAGGGCTGGTGAAACAGGACAGCTCATCAGGTGCCAAACTGACAACCTGAGCTCGCCTGCCGGAAGCCACATTGTGGAGAGAACCAACCAAGCTCTCCTGTCACTCCCACGGTGCACCATGGTATGTGTACCCTCAACAAACAAGTAAACAAGTGAAGGGGGGAGTAGAGAGAGGCAAACTACAGAGTAGGAAGGAATCCAGGGACAGCAGAGCTTGTAGCAACTTCTGTCAGAGGATTACACACACAGCTGCAGGCACCACACGTGACCGGATGCTGCTGTTCTTACAACTTTCCACTGGTAAGTATTCCAATAGGAAAGAACAATCTCAGGACGCCAAAGCCGGGAGACATGGCCATTTCTTTGGAAACTGGGAGAGTATAACATAAATGCATGGTTTTAAAAACCCAGAACCAATGCGGGGACTTCAATAGCCCAAACTTCTCAGCATCTGTACCAATGGGAACAGATGTCCTAGCCAACACTGACTGCGCACACAACGGGCCCCAGTGAGGCAAAGCCACACACGTTGGAACATAGCGGTGGGACTGTCACCACTGAGGCTGCGTTTGGCAGACACTCGAAACTGACGCCTGTGAACGTATCATGACCGTGCTCTGCTGCGATACCAGACAAGGCGTAGGGCTGAGGAAGGTTTCCAAGCAGCTGAACTGATGGGCGGGCTTTGCAGGTGCCCTTCCCGGGCAGGCACGCTCAAACAGCAAGACTGAAGAGGCAATGCTAAGATTGCTTCATCAAGGGTCACTAACCAAGTCCATCATCTTGAGTCCTTCCAGCAGCTTGCAGTTCCTGTTCTTCAGCCTGTGGGCTTCGTCAATGACCACACAGCGCCAGGGGATATTGCGCAGCTCAGGGCAGTCAGTCAGAATCATCTCAAACGTAGTGATGATGGCATGGAACTTATAGGACCCCTTTATCACTCGACCCTACAAGAACCAGTGGTTACGTTACTACATTTGAGAATGACAGCAAGCACGCTGCTAGAGGGTATGTCTTTCACCCTTTGGAGACCTCTGTATTTCAGCTAGCGCATCTGTTTTCAAGTCATTTTGGACTAACACAGAATTTTTAAAGCATTTCCTTTCTAAAAGAAGCTAGGGAAGTGCTGGGAAATTTTGGGGTCATATTTCCTTAAAGATCGAATGTAGTAAAGGGTCACTTAGTACATGCAGTCTAGCCACAACACACAGAATCTGCCAGGTGGAGGAGAGGGGCAAGGGGACTGAGTGCCAAGGTAACTTTAATTGGCTTAGGCGTTTCGCTAACTTACTTTTAGAACTTATTAACGTTTCTTGTAAAATGCCAAAACATTTAAAATTTCAAAAATTTCAAAAACCCAAAGAGGAGAAGCATTTTAATAATATAAAACATTATAAAGATAAATACAGATTTCCTCCTTTAACAGTAGACCACACTTTTCTATTTCAAGAGTACATGTGGATAAAACTGCCTTATTTCCCACTGCAGGACAGCGCCTGCTGCTTAAAGCTTACATGTTTTAGCATGAATCATCCCTATCATGGCATGAATAATGTTTCACTGCCGATGCCAGGCAATAATTACAGGCAGGCAACTACAACAAGACAAAGTTAAAGCAATTCTTACAAGAGTCAAAGTACTAAAGTCTTGTTTGGTATACTTGAGTGTTTAAAACACTTAATAGTTTTTCACTTCTGGTCATAGTACAAAATGTTCTCTCTGATCACAGTTCAGTATCATTTTCTGCTTGGTATTGTCTTAGGCATGAAAAACAAAACTAAGCTACTGACACATTATGTAGTTTTATGAGCATTAAAAGTTAAGCAAGTTATTCCTTCTAATTAAATAATCAGAATGACAAATGCTGAAGATATTAAGAAGCAGGATCCACAGATATAGAAAGATTATGCAAACATGTAAACCTGTCATGGATAAGAAATGTCAAAAAAAAAAGAAAGAAAGAAATCTCAAGCAAGTTTCAGTTAGCACATCAAGGCATCAGTCACTACATCACAGAGATCTGAGTCTACAATCTCCCCAGCCCCCATACTCAGCACACACGGGGTCACACTTTACCTGGGGATCTTTGAAGTACATTTCATACAACTGAATAGTCCGACGACTAGCTTGGCTCCCATGATACACAACCACATTTAACTCCGTCCAGGTCCGGAATTCCCTTTCCCAGTTGGGGATCGTGGACAATGGGGCAATTACTAAAAAAGGGCCATGGATTCCTTTCAAATATATCTCATAGAGAAATGTAATGGACTGGATAGTCTTTCCCAAACCCATTTCATCTGCTAAAATGCAGTTTCGCCTTTGAGAAGGAAAAAAGACAGGAAAGCTTAATGGGTATCAGCTCTTGTTCTCTTTTTACAAAATCAATGCACACAGACACCTGCCCTGTGACTGTAACTCCTTTCTTTTCTGCTTTGGTTTTTGAGACAGGGTTTCTCTGTGTAACAGCCCTGGCTATCCTGGAATTAGCTTTGTAAACCAGCTTGGCATCGAACTCACAGAGTTGTGCTTGTCTCTGCCTCCGGAGTGCTGGGATAAAGGTGTGCACCACCACTTCCAAGCTGTTAACTATTTTTTTTTTTTTTTTTTAGTTCAACAAAATAAATTTCAAAAGAAATTCTCTATAAAACAAATATTTCTACATAGTTCCATCAACCTCTCTGTCTGATGAATAAATTAAGAGTATTCCAACAGATTTTAAAAATGTATTACAGCATTAGTTTTTTAAAACTAGTATTTCTAACACTACGAAGGCCAAGAGCTACAGCATTTGTTAAAAGTGCAAAGAAACATGTTTTACATACATGTTGTACCAATTGAAAAGCAGCCAGTTTACTCCCTCCAACTGGTATTCCCTGAGTTTGTTATTGTTTCTATACTCCCTGGAACTCTCCGATTTCTTCCAGTCATCAGCGGGAGGTCGCTCCTGTTCCAAACACAGTAAATCCCATTAGTGGTTTCCCCGAGACTGCACCAGGAGGCTATTTCCAAATGAAACCCTTCACCCCTTCACCGTAGGCCAATCCTCACCACGCGCTCTGTTTCCGGCTCCCTGGACATGAGTCTTTCAAACTCTTCGATCTTCGCTTGATCTATGTCCTGCCTCAGCTCCCATGTGCTGTCTTCGTAAGGGAGTGAGCACCATTTTACCAGATAGTGAGTCACGGGCTGGGCCGGGTTCAAAGAGATCAGAACTGAAGTCATTTGACTGGAACAATGTATATTAAGGAGAAACCCGCGCTCTGCTTATCTTACTGGTACAACCCCAGCATCAGTAAGACTGAACTGCCCACATTTGAATACTATCACCACCGAGAGTTGTCTCCAATGTACAGTGAAAACTGTACTATTGGGTATTAACAAAAAAATTAACTTTTTATCTGAATCATTGGTTCATGACCAAAATATCAAGGAGTAGCTAATGAACAGCAAGAAGTCAAATTAAAGGCTCATATTTTATCTGTCAATCATTCATCAAATATGATTTGGATTTATATAGTAAGCCATCTTGGCACATTTTCTATATAACTGAATAGTTTCAGTATGCATTTGCACGCTGATGGAGGTTCTGACCAGGCCCAGGCCTTGCTTTTGCCCCGTCTGTCAACAGGTGTAAACTTCCGGAACCACCCTGTGGAACACAGACGATCTGTTACCTCGCCCCGGTCATCTGTGCTACGTGCAAAGTCCATTATCCGGTCAACTTCCACATAATCGGGATTAAAAAGATCATCCTCAATCTGTTCCGAAGGAGGAAAAGAGGTTAAAACATTTATTCGTCTCTTCGGACAAACACTATTTCACTTCTCACTAGGCAGTGATATTTTGGGTCACAGCAAGGCAAACTTTGTATTTGACATATTCTATTCTATTAATTGAAATGCTACAATTTAACAAAATCACTCCCCGTGAGGAAATCAAACTTCTCAGACTTTGTTAACTGGGTATTTTAATTACTGTGTGAAACCTTTTACTATGAGGGAATGTTTAAGAATATTTCAAATGAAGTGTGAAATTACAATTCACTAATGAGCAATCCAAAAGGCTTGTGGCATGCAATACATTTAGCATTCTTGAAAGCACAGTCTGCAGCGAAGACGTCAGAGACACACACAGCCCGTGTGAGTGCATCTCAGAACCACTGAGTCTTCTGACATCGTTAAGACACCACGTACAGAAGGACAGCATAGGCTACGGACCCTGAAAGCGGCAGGTTCCCCATTTTACTGTGAGCATGCTTAGCATGGAAAGCTCTGCCAGCTTCTATCAGGACTTGGCTTAGTGTTTAATAACACTCTTCCAACTAATCTTAAACCTTCCAGTGATTTATTTGTACTGAACACTGAGTGTCTGGGTAAACGAATTCAAAGACATAAAGCCTTAGTAGAGTTAAGTAATATTCTAAAGGTATTCACAAAAGCAAAGGAATATGGCCTGCTCAGAAAGAAGACAAGAGGAGAAGATGGTCAGACTGTGGCCACCATGAAGTCACAGGCTATGTCATACTTTACAAAGTCCACACCTGTGACTTCTGGACTGTGTCAGAAACAACAGCCACATCGTTATGTGTTGCCGTGAATTAGTTTGCTGACATTGTTTAATCTAACATGCAAAAGGCGGCTTGGAAGTCAGCTAGGACTCATTCTCTATCCCTTGGAAAAAGTGAGCTGTCAGTCACACACTGTGTTCAAGGAAGACACACTTCTGAGCTGTCTAAACCCACTTAAAATGTCCAACTTGGATGCTCCGATTGTGAATTATGAAACACATAGCACAGATGCAAAAGTGTCCATCTGCTGCCGTGCGTGGGCTTTCTACCAAAGGCGGACAGGGACCACTCATTTAAAGCATCAATACTCCGATGCATTTAGCGTTGCCAAAGCTTCTGGTCTCTGGAAGGCCACTTCCTTTTCAACATGAGCTCTCACAGTCAGTGCTCAATGTACCCTCTCCTACATCCATTCCTGCTGAGGGCAGTGTGCATATGCTGGACTTCCTGGCCTCAGTGTTATTTCTGAATAGACCATAGGTGCAGCAGTCAGGAAGCCTAAGCGTCAGTAAAGAACACAAGAACAGCCAGAGATCCTACAGGAACGGAGATGAGGGATGTGCGGAGCCAGGATCACTGATGGGGCTCCATATGTGTAGAAGAAGAAAGGACAGGCTTGTGTTCTTTTCTGCTAAGGCTCATTGAGGTCAGAGCTCATTGAGGAAGATAATGCTTACATCCTGGGTACAAGTGACTCAAACAGGCAAGTTCAGACAAACAGGGCATGCATTAGGGCCAGGCACAATTCCCTGAAGAGTATTTGACTACAGGAACCAGGGTCCAAATGAATTTAATAAACAGGACCATGATTTAAGGATGGGAAAAAGGTCCCATTGTGTTTTCCCCTTTCCCTCCCTCAGAAAAGGTCAGCAGGACATATGGTCCCTCTCTCTAATGATGCTCCTCACCCAGCCCTCTCAACATTTTAACTTTACAATCATCATTAAGTAGGGCACAAGAAATAGAAACCCACAGCTCTTTGTTTTGTTTTGTTTTCTAGACCATGCTTCCAAAAAAAGAATTGTCTCAATATTCTCCTCAGTGAGAGAATGGAATCACATTCAGTAGCCCAATGCTCTCAGTGTCGAGCACTCGCTGCTCCCAAGGCAGCAGAGCAGTTTCCTGACAACGGGCTCCAGGAAAGCCCCAGGCTCTTGTAAGGATTTGATGGCACTAGAACACTAATGCTTTTTCTTTCTCTCCCTCCTCATCTCCACAAAGGAGTAAACATGAAGGCAGCTGTCCAGCAGTCAGACTCTTACAATACTGATATTCGTTGTGGCTTGTCTTCAGTTAGGTCTTAGTTATTTACCATTTGCTTTTTGCCCCCGTCAATGAAGGAGGATTGAACCCAGAGTCTCACACTTGCACGCAAGTGTCCTACTACTGAGTTACGTGCATGGCCCTGGTTCGCTCTTTCAGGAGAACAGCTAAGAAATCATCAAGTCATCTCTTTCAAAGTTAGAGAGTTGTTGGTTTTTAAAAAAATCTTCTTGCCTTGTATGTGAAGGGTAACAGTGATCTGGAGTCTAGAAAGTTGGCTAAGCAGCTTGTGGAAACTTTCTTTAAAAACATTCCTGACTGCGTTAGGAGCCTGCCTACCCTCTCCTCAGGTGCAGATCTTTGTCCCTCTGTAAGTGATAACTAGGGTAGGAGACACTGCCTCCCCTCTGCGCAGCGGCACACAGCATCTGTTCTGTGACCTCTGTGTGAGGCACAAACTTCAACAGCAGCCATCTGCCACATGCTGCCCCAGTCAACCCTCCATACCTACTCAAGTTTTAACCTACTCTCAGCAGACTATCTGCTCACTCTGTCCAGTTCTCAGCTGCATGCTCACTGTAAAATATTAATCATATCGCCACCGCTACTCCCACATGCCCTAAGAACCAGTATTTCCTAGATGAAGCCAGCAGCAGCAGAAGAAACTTCCTGTTTACAAATTTTAGCAATACCAATCACCAATATGCAAGTAACAGCACCGGATGGGGGAAACCAGTCTCTGTTAAGAGTTTACTAACCTACAATTCAAACTTTATAGCGTCTTAATAAAGAAAACATTTCAAAGATGAATCAAGTAGTTCGTACCTCTGAAAGGAATTTGTTCTGGCCCTGTTTCGACTTGAATCGTTTTATCTTTTGCTGAATTCTCTTATCTTTCTCTAGATCTTCTACAGATGCCCACTGACAATGAAGATAAGAGCTGAAAGAATAAAACAGTACCCTTGAAACATAATTACTACACTTATGTCTTCTTTTTAAATCCTAAAAAAAGATCGTTCGCAAAAAAAACCCACTAAATGATTACTGACAGTGCCGAGCAACATTTAATGTAACCACCAGTGTTTGGAAATAAGAGAAAATCAATAATGTAATAGTACTTAAAAGTTGCTTCTGCCAAGCCTTGTGCTTTACCCACTACCCATAAAACTTTTAAAAATGAAAATCAATCAATCAAGCAATTAATCAATCAAGCACACAGACAAAGGAGCCTCATAGCAAGGTGCTCTCCTGAGTTAACAGATTGCATGTCAATATCAAACAATCAGCACTACTGGGTGGCCTTAACTATGAAATGTTTCGAGCCTTTTGCCTTTAAGAAATGAAAGGTTTTTGTTAAGTAAGAAGAACTCAAATTTAAAGCCTCAGGATGCATAAGGGGAGTAGCAGTGTGTCCTCATTCATCCAAGGCCTAAGCACAGGCCTTTATGATTGGCTGTCAGGAGCAAGGGTGCAGCTTGGCTCTTCTAGAAACAACATCCCTGAGGATTTTTCACTCCAGCACACTTACTGGCTAATGTCCACCTCTTAATGCTCTTAATGTTCAGCAGCCAGTTCCTTCAGACTCACCTGCCATGAGCACAGTCTCCTTTCTTAACCTGAACTGAACATGGTCTGAACAACTCAAAAGTACAATCAACACATTGTTCTATTGGATATTCTGATGTTGCTTTGTACCATCCTCCCATTTTTTCTTTCTATGGATGACATTAAAGAGCTGATGCTAAGAACGGCGGTCCATGCCTAAAATCATAGTCCCTAGGAGGAGAGGGGATCAGGGTATGTTCAAGGTCAGCCTAGGCGACAGAACAAACCCTGTCCTAAAAAAAAAAAAAAAGAAAGAAAAAAAGAAAAGAAAAGAAAAAAAAAAAAGTAAGGGCTCGGGATGTAGTTCAGTATCAGAGCATGACACAACTTTATGCAAGGCTCTGGGTTCTGTTCCCACCATTGCGGGGAGAGGAAGAGGGAGATATTTGGATCCACAACTCTTGTAGCATCAAGATGCTGCTACACAGAAATGAAATGGCAATCACAGAACCTTCAAAAAGGTTTTATAATGATACCTAAGTCCTTATATGTCTTTCCAGATGTAGGGTAGATTAAATGCTAATGTTGGGTGAAAGAAGAAAATATTTTAAACAGAAGTGTCTTACATAGATATGAATTCATATACACACATACACACACTACATGGAGAGAGAAAAACAGAACAATTGTGCATGTATCAACATGTTAATAATTATCATGAGTAGTAAGATAACAAATATTGTATTTTCTGCTTCCAACTCCAACAATTTTTCTAGGAACTAACACTATAACTACAATGAGAAAACGGCAAACAGCCTACTCCTGTCTTCTAGTTAACTGGAAGAAAAAGACACATGGGCACTTAAAATTTTTGATTTGAGAAAGGAGCAAACATATATGAGACCTCCAGGGTGGCTCCAAGCTGGACACAGCCCTTGGGCAAGCGAATCTGGCCCTGCTCTGCCACCTGCAATCTGAAATCTTCAATCAGTGACTGCAGTTTCTACCCTGATATCCAAAGCCCATTCCAGAGGCTTAGTCAGGAAAACAGAAGAAACGAAATCGAGTAAAAGGCTGGCTACTGTCTCTTAGTGAATTAAGGCAACAAGGCAGAAAGTCTGTCAGGCAGACAGATTAACTAGCACTGAAAAAAATGAGACAATGTTGATGGAGGAGAATGGAGAATAGACTAAAAAAGTCTGCATGAAGGCTTACAAAGAACATGGCTTATGGCCACTTTGAAAAAAAAAACTCCATTTCAAGACATAATCTTTCTTTACAAAATGAGTTAAGTAATTATTTATGCCTAATGTTACCAAAGATGGTACAGAGAGAAAATTAAATGTATCTATTTCTACATGTAAGTGGAGGATTCTAAGTAAAATAAATGTTAGCTAACGTTCCCATACTACTTCAAGAAAACAGAAGACAAGCCAGTGAGAGGGCTAAGCCACCAAGAGATGCTTGCCACCAAGCCTGGTGACCTAAAGTCAATCCTTTGGACCTCTAAGGTGGGAAGGAAAGAAGTACTTCCTGCAAGTTGTCAACAGGCAGGCAGGCAGGCAGGCAGGCAAAGCAGGCAGGCAGGCAGGCAGGCAGGCAGAGCAGCAGTTTCTCATACCCCAAGGTGGGGAAAAGAGAATAGAAAAAATAAGAAGTAAGATTTTCCTCTGGCAACAAAAGGCTGGCTTAGTGTTAAGAAATGTATTTTAAAATATGCAACATTAAAACATATCCAAGAAGAAAAATCACACAATCATTCCTATTGGTGCTAAACATTGCTTTGATAAAATTCTACACTTACAGAAGCTGTTTTAAAATTCAGGAAACTAGGAATTGATTGGTATTTCACTAACATAAGTAAACATGTAGGCTTTAGTCATAAAGCCAGCTCTTATCAGACAAGAAGCAACAAAGACTTTCCCATAAAGATCAGGGACAAGGAAGGTATGGATAGCCACTATTAGGCAATAGTGTACCCGAGGTCCTCACCCACGCCATTAAATAAACCATCTCTATTTGCAGACTATATGATCACACACACACACACACACACACACACACACATACACACACACACACAACCACTCTGAATCAGTTAGAAACTCAAGCAAAGAATGAAGCAATTCAGTAATGCAAGTACTGCAGAAGGAAATAAAATTGGCAGGTGGAAGTTAATGAGCAGACATCATTCACAAAAACAACCAATGAGGAAGAATTATGTTTTTAGAAAAGTGTTTTCGTAACAACAACAAAGACAAGGAATTAATAAATTTAACACAAAATGTACAAATGTGCATATGAATGTTTACACACGAACATAATGGATGAACCAACTAAAAGGACTGTCGGAATTTCATACAGTACAAAGTCACTATCTTTGTACTGTATCAGATTTATAAGTGTAATACAATGAAGAGAAAAATATAAGTAACCATTCTCATGCAACTAGACAAGTTCACACAAGACCGCAATAAACATGCAACAAAATCCATACACATTAAAAACGAGGGAGCAACTGGGAAGCATAACCAGATATTAAAATATACCACACAGTCCCTACTAATATGGTGCTGACATGAAGAGACAAACTGACCCAAAGCTAAGTCTCCCAGCCCCACACTCTCTTCTGATCTTTTGATTGGTGCATTAACTCACTACAACAAGCTGTTCTATTTGTTTGTTTGTTTGGTCAACCTAACATAATCTAGAGTCGTTTGGGAAGAGGGAATCTCAGTTAAGATTAGCCTCTAGACAATGCCACCATGGTTTGGTGATTCTGGATGCTATAAGAAAGCAGCTGGGCAAGCCATGAGGAGCAAACCAGTAAGCAGTACTCTTCCATGGCCTCTCTGCCTCAGCTCCTGCCTTCATTTTACTGCCTTGGTTTTCCTCAATGGATTGTAGCCTGGGATATGTAAGCCAAATAATCTTCTTCCTCTCTAAGTCGCTTTTTGGTCATGGTTTGACCATAGCAATAGAAACCCTAACTGAGACAGGAATTGGTACCAGGAGTGGGGTACTGCCATGACAGATCAGACCATGTGTTTTGGAGGAGGATTTTGTGGAACAGAAAAGCCACAGAGTGCTCAAGAGTTCCATGGACTATCCTTTGTGAGCTTGGAAGGTAAGAATTCTGAGACCACTGCAGACGATGGAGGTGCGGCTTGTCAAGCTTCAGGGAGAAGTTGGTGAGTCCCTTAAACACTATTGCATTGTCCAACATTTTAATTAAGAATCTGTGGTTCTGGTCAACTGGGACTGAAGAATCAGTTGTGACAAAGGAGAGACCAGCATTATTAAGGTGAAGTCTTCCCTTGGGGTCCAGAGGGGACCAAGGCTGTATGTGATGCTGGCAGGTAAACTTGGTAGTATGTAAGAGTCTCTGGCGTGGTACTGGTTTTGCAGGCATGAGAGGGTCATGAACAATGGCTGAGACTGGGCACTTTGAGAAGCCAGAAGAGGGTATTAGTGAAGGTGCAGCCTCAATTGCGGTAAAACTCCCAGGACTGAGTAGCTCATGGTGCAAAATTGAGACTTTGCCCCCATGTGGCAGGGTCAGGGTCCCTGAAGAGAGCCTAGGAAAGGGTGTAGCACAGCTGTAGAAGAGACCCAGCATTTTGGAGATGTCAGTACCATAGGTTGATCGCCAAGGACAGCAGCAGGCATGGGGTGGAGCCTGGCTAAGTGTATGTGCTAGAGATGGCACAGCCAGAAGGAGAGCTGCCTGGGCCCCAGTGACCAGAAGATCACAGAGCAACAGTTCTCAGCCTGCAGGTCACAACCCCTCCACATGCGGAACTGTGTAAGTGGTCGCAGCACTAGAGAGGTTGAGAGCTTCTGCCATGGAGTGGATCCCAGATCCCAGACCCTGCGCTTATTACACTGGTAGACTCTGGTTTGACCTTGATCTGATTGTAACTGTGTCCTGGTTCTTCCTTTTTGAAATAAGAAGTAAGTAAGTTATTGGTTTTTATTGTTATTGTTTTGCAGGCGTCCACACTTGAGGCTTTTAGCTTTGAAAGAGACTCTGGATAGTCTAAAGCGACTCAACTTTCAAAGTTTGCCTTGTTATAAACTGTGAGATGTCTTATATTGTAACAGCAATATTAATATGTGATCTCAGAGAGGAACAAGAAGGAAAAGGTTATGATTTAGTAAGTGATGTGTTTGTACACCAAGAAGGGGGTCCATTGTGTGGGGTTGGAGTTTTGTTTTCTTTTTCTTTCTTGGTGGTGGTGGTCATCTTGACACAAGCTAGAGTTATCCGGGACAAGGAACCTCATTTGAGAAAATGCCTCCATCGGATTGCCTGTGAGCAAGTGTGTAGTGGTTTTCTTGATTAACGACTGATGAGGAAGGGCCCAGCCCACTGTGGGCTGGTGGGCCCCGGTGGCATAAGAAAGCAGGCTGAGTAAGCCACAAGGGGCGAGCAGGTAAACAGCCTCTCTATGGCTTCTGCTGTGCTCCCTGCCCTGCTTGAGTTTCTGCGCTGACTGCCCTTACAGAAACCTGAACTAAGACATTAGTGTTAGGAGTTTGGGTTTCTAAAAACCACACAAATGCCAGGTGGGCATGGGGCCTGCTTGGAACTCCAGAGCTCACAAGCTAAAGCCTTGTCTGATAGGGGTAGCCAGAAAAGCTGGATTGGTGGGTTCTGGGTTCGGCTGAGAGCCTGGCTCAATGAATATGGTAAGACTTCCAATGCTTCCTCATCGATACACAGACATATACACGTATTCCCACACACATACATGCCTACATGCAAACACATGCGTGCACACATACAGGAGAGAAAAACAGAACAGAGTGCAGATATACAAAATACAAATAAACATGTTAGCACACAACGGTTGCATCTCAAGTCACCATGGAAAGTCAGACTTCTTGACTATGGTGCTAGAATTATCCAGTTCATGAGCACTGAAGATTTTAAATGACATCACATGCAAGGCAGATGGTAGTCCCACAGTTTTATACAGGACCTGAAAAATTCCTATTGCCTGGCGATGTACATACTGGAATGCCACAGGACCATAAGTTATCCACGTGTTTATGGTGACAAGTAGAAACTTACTACACTGCCCACTGCATAAAACTGCAGCACATACAACTAAATACAGCGATAATAATGTTGACAACAACCATAGTCCTGACTATGCATGTAGTATATAATCAATACTATTAAGAGTGAACTTCTACTCACAAGTCAGGCTATAGCAGCAGCCTTAGCCAGCTCATCTTTACCCTGCCTTTTCATCCCATCAAAAGCAGACTGACTGACTGACTGACTGATATTTACCATCTAGATCAGACTGAGGACACGCTATGATACCCACGCAATGCAAGAATTAAATCACGAGGTGCTTCTAAAGTGGGTCCCTGCTGTTGAAAAGAATGCACAGCAACACGTCAAGCCTTTAGGCAGAAAAAGAATGCACACAGTGGAAGAGTGTGTGGGCTCGCAGAAAGAGGGGTCTTTCTAGAATGACTGGAAAGCCAGACCCAAAGAAGGACTGATATGTCTAACTACAGAGTGCGTACATTTATTGGGGGGAGGGGCCAGGTGGCACACATGTGGAGGTCAGAGGTCACTCTCTGGTGTTGATTTTTCCCTGCTAACCTCGTGGGACTTGGGGCTCAAACTCAGATCGTCAGGTTTGCACACAAGTGCTGAATGGCCTCATCAGCCCCAAGCTTTAAATTTTATACTGCAATAAACACAGAAAGTTAGAAATAAAGTGAAACTGGTAAATCCAATGGTCTGTGAAGTGGATGATATAATGATGGGGACCTAGGAGCCTAAGGAAATTCTGAGTCACGTATTTAACCTCTATTTATCAAACTAATTACAAAACAAAGAAACAAAGGCTTCTGGCTCATACAATTCTCAGCTAGGAATTCTTAATTCTTTTCCTGTATATTTGGGGGGGGGGGAATGCAAAGACAGTAAGGGCTAAACTTCTTGGGGTTGGAACTGCTAACAATGAAAGGAGGGCGAGGCTACCCTGTGGGGGGTGCTCCCTGTGGGGGTGCTCCCTGTGGGGGGTGCTCCCTGTGCGGGGTGCTCCCTGTGCAGGGTGCTCCCTGTGGGGGGTGCTCCCTGTGGGGGTGGTCCCTGTGGAGTGGGGGGGGGGTCCTGGGATTATCAGCTGAAGATACAGTCTCTGTTGTTAGGAAGGCAGATGAGTACATAGTTAGAGGCAAATGCATAGGTACAATGAACAGGTACATGTACCTATACATCACGTGTGCATGTTCTCGTGGCTGCAAATTAGCCAGGAAAGAGAATAAAAGCAATCCTTAAGTGAAAATCCCAAACATCCCACCTGGGAGGAATGGAGGGTTGACTTGGCAATCATCACCATATTTAACAAGCTCAAAGAATTTCAGATATAGTCATCACAACTGAAAAGAACAACAACAACAAAAAAAAATCCTACTGTTTCTGTATTTTTTTTTGTTTTTGTTTTTACAAATCTGAATTTGCATCAAAACAAGTTAACCAAAATGTCTATAGAAAGTTTAACTTCCCCGACATCTCCAAAGTCTCCCACAGAAAACTGGTTTTTAGGACTGTGTTAAGTGTCTGACAACTCCTCTCCCTCTTGGCAGTGGCGCCTGGTTCAGGGCCCGTGTTCTTCTCCGAGCTTCCCACAGGGCAATAGCTGGCAACCCTGGGTCCCACTGCCACTCTGTCTCCAATGCTGACTGGTGGTGCAATCACCTGTCAATCAACACTCAACCTCAGTCCTCTGTTTGAATTGATGCATCCGAGGGAATTCCCCCTCCATTACCTCCTCTTCGCTTATTGTTTCTCTCCTTAAGGATTCACCCACAGGAAATCACATCTAACATCTACTGAGCATTTATACTACCAGAGCCCATTTCACTAACTCTCATGATAAAACAGAGAGACACCTTCATCTTTTTACTTAAGAAAATGGCGTGCTTACAACTTTTTCCAAAGAGTGATCTTGCATTTACACAATAGCAGCTAACAAGGGACAAAAGGGAACACGGCACCCAATGGCATCATTTTTCTAGGGATGACTTCTCGGCGACTCCGAAAATCCTCTTTAAAACCCAGGGCTGATTCCCATAGGCTTTAGGGTCTGTCTTCAGAAAGACAAAGCAGAGAGAGCACATGAGTGATCAATGGGGATCTTTGTCCTCAGAGGCTTGTCTGGCAAGGAAGGGCTCAGACGTCTTCAGGGTTAAGACCAACCCCGAAAGCATGCTGGCCGGCCAATGCACACTCCCTACAACATAACTCAGGGCAATTGTGTTTTTCTATTCAGATTAAAAACTAAAATGAAACCCACTCATCAAATATGGAAACTGACCCACATAAAAGCCACAGCTCAGTGCATTGCAGCCTGAGTGGTACCCTGGTCTGGGGGCCTCGGTGGGACTTTAGAACCCTCATCACACAGATGCAGGAAGAGGACCAAGAGCAACTCTTAGAGGGCAGGCAACTTTCACTTTCTTTTTCAGTCTCCACACCAGGTGTTTCTGTCTACAAAGGCCTTCTTGGTTATATAAGAAAGTTGGTCAACGTCTACCCAGTAAATATTTTCCTGGAAAAAAAAAATCTACAGAATACCAAAAATAACAAAAAAAGTCACAATTTACTTACAAGTTTTTGTATTTCACATAAAATTCCTCGACTTCTACCTCCTCTCCAGATTCTTTCTGCAACAACAACAACAACAATAAAAAAATTTTTTGAAGCACACACGTAAGACTGTATACTGCAGATTTTCAGAAGCAGCCACACTCCCACATGGGGACACGGTGCCCGAGGAGGCCTCCCCAGAAAGATGAGCATGCAGGGAGCCCTGGCAGCCCATGCCATGGAGACTGACGCACGCACCCAGGCACATGCACGCTGCTCTACTCAACGTGCCTGTGATTCTACGGCATGAATCATTTTAACTCCTCCCTAACCACATGCAGCTTCATTCACAACAACCTGACCCCAAACCTGGCTGTCTGCCAAACCCACAGTGTTAAGTAGACGCCAAGTGTACCATTTTCTCAGGCAGCAGCCAATTAGCAACTGCTCTCCTGAATGCCATATGTATTATTTTTGGCTGCCTCATGGCAACTTTACATTGTGGGTTTTGTAATGTTTTAAAATATTTAAAAGACATTTATTTCTCCATATAGTTAATAACTCTAAACAAGAAACCATATAAAAGTAAACCTTGTTCTTATGCTGTAATTCAGTGCATCGCTATTCATAGTTTGAGTTTTACTCAGTGGAACAATTAAAATTTCTCAGACAAGATGTCTCACACACACAGCAGCCAAATAAAATTAACACTTCCAGTCCCATATTTAGGTGGGTTAAAATTGTGATGCATGTCCTCCAAGTCAAGAGTTTACATGGTCAGACTGCCAACAGAGGGTACCAAAAACAACATAAATGTTAGGGTTCAGACATCTCTCTCTTTCCCATTTTGCTTTTAGCTTTAGGCTGTTACACAACTCAGAATGTGTCATTTGCTTACAAGTGTTTGCACAGATAAAGCAGAGATGTAAATCATAAACATTTTTAGTCCAGGTTTCGGCCAAGTTCTTTTACACTGCTAAGGGAGCCCCCAAGCCTGCTTGCCTGCAGGCACAAGCATGGGTACCCGGTGGCCTCATAGAGATGTGAAGAAAATGAAGACGAGTAGGAACATGGCAGAGGCCAAGTAGAAGAGCAGGCGTGGAGGATGAAACACATGTTCAAACCCAGGTTCAATTAGAACTCCTTCATGACTCTTCAGCAATTTCAATTAAACCTACATTTTAAACTTTTTTTTTTTTTTTAAACCAATGAGAGGCCTAGACGTTCTAGTGTGTGGCAAATATCTCTCAACATCTGGCTTTGCCCTAGTAGGGCTGTGAAAAGTCCTCACTATAAAGCAGCTTTTTAAGTTAACAAATTCAGCCCATATTTATCCGAAATGAACAGAAATGACTGTTTACACCCCAAGAGGCAGCACACAAACCCAAGGCACTTGCTTGTTCTCCTCACTTCAAGTAACAACCCACCCGGGGCTTGACTCACCATTTTTAAGCCCAGTGTTTTCTTACCCCACCCCTGTAGGATGCCAGTGGACAATTAAAGAAGAAAACAGACAGCCGAGAAAACTGGCAAGTCTTACAGCATGTCCTAGAACTCAGCCTCACAGTGGGTCTAAGGTAACCATGCTCTTACAGACCTGGGGTGCAATCCATTATTTCTTCGAAATGATTTTCCAATCCAGGTGGGGTCAAACTCACCAGCACTTATTCGCAGCATCATTTCCTCCGACTTCCTTCTTTCTAACCCTCCTATGCTGTCCTTAACAGATTCAGGGTCCTGAAATCTGGCTGGCACTGAGCACACAGACCTTTGGCACTGGAGGTGGTTTTATTCTGTCTCAGCTCTGTCCCCAGGAAGCCACCCGTCTGCAACTCATTCCCACCCACTTTCTTGTCACGATCATCTATTCCCCAAGGCACGTGCTGAAGCGTACCAGGAGGATCTAGAGCTGTCTGGGAGGAGCAAAGGGGCTCTGAGATTCCAGTCACCACTAGACCTGGTGAAAAACTGTTGTGGGACTTATATCTTCTAAATGCCACCAAGTAAAGACAACACAGTATTCCATTTAAGTAACCACATACGTAACACGGCCACATTCTTGCTCTAGAGCTGCAACTACAGCTGTTACTTACATTTCACACAAATATGTACACGCTGGCCTCTTTTGCTTTCCTAATAGTATGTAGACAGAAACACCTTTTCAAGAATTTCCTAGCGACATCTACTTTGCCCAGTCTCCAGCACCCCACACTAGTGGTGGAGAGACTACCTATCCCATAGTGGGCAGACTGAATGGATGGTCCAGTGTTGCATATATGTGTCTACACGACACTGACATTGACTTCTTGCCAAGCATTTTTCACAGGTTCAACAGAATGTTTGAAAAATATGTATCCTGTTCATTCCCCAAATGAGTGCAAGGCATCTTTTCAATTTACACGAAACGATGCTGTCTATGTATTCATGTTTGGCTCATTGTTCATGTGACTATGAACTTGTATCAGGCAGGCACCTACTTCACTACACTGTCCTGAAACAGCACATAATAATCCCATAGCTGAAAAAAAGAAGGGCCTTTCTAATTAGATGGTTCCCCTACTCAAAACTATACTGCGCCAAACAAAGTGGGAAATATTAAATAATGAACAAAAATTGAAAAAGTATCCCCCTCCAAAAAAAAATAAATAAATAAAGTGCAGAATAAGTCCCTTTCAACTTGTAGTCTATCCTAGTTTATGCTCCAACAAAAATAGAGAGCCACAGTCTACTTAGTGAGAAAATAAGGACATTCTAGGAAATACGTCACCTTTACGGACAGGTATCCACAGGTCAGGAACAGACAGTACCACCTTCTATGAGCTTCCCGTGTAGCTCACTCACCATAGGGCATTTGAAGTCACTACAGATGCATATGAGGATGGGCATTTAGTGTAGTGGCTTCTAACCTTCCTCATACTGTCACCCTTTAATATATTTCCTCATGTTGGGACTGTATTTAATTTTATAATCTACTTTTTCATTGTTTGGTTGGATTCAGGAAAATTAAGACAAATACCTTGGAATTTAAAGTAACTTCTTATGGGAAAAAATATATCATGTAAAGAAGTTTTAAAAAAAAACAAAAGAATTGTAGGGAATAGAATGTAGTTCATTCAGAATTTGCCTCTATAATTCTCACCTTATGATCCAAAAAAAGGACTTAAAGGTATTTTCCACAGATGGGTGACAAATAAAAGTGCTGTGACTAAAAGTGGAAAACTAAAGATCTTCTGTGCAATCTAAATCTCTATTCACATATTCAAACTACATTAAAGTTCATATAGAAGGCCCCTGCTCTGGTATCAAGTATATTAACTTGTGTTTAAGACAATATATAAATGTCAAGCCACGCCCAGTATCATAGTGTGCTAAGCTGAGGCAGTTGAGTTACAGAACCCCATCACAATGGATCCCCAGCCTTGTGAGGAGGCTTCAGCAATAAACGGAGAAGCCACTGAGCTCCTACATGTTAGCACACTCAGGACAGGCCTGACAGTTCTCAGCCAGTTTCCATGGAATTAAGAGAGAGATACATACAATGACACACATGCATGAGAGGGAGAGAGGGAGAGGAGGAGGAGGGAGAGACAGAGAGAGAGAGAGAGAGAGAGAGAGAGAGAGAGAGAGAGAGTGCTCCTCCCATAGACAATCCTTGAATTATTCATGGCAACAGGAAGCAGACCAGCAGCACAGCTAGAATCCACAGGAAAACAATCTCGAATTTCCTTTCGTGTCCATGTGCAATACTGTCCCCCCAGTGTCTTTAAAACTGACAATTTAAAGCAACCTGTGTTGAGAACATTAGCAGTTTAAAGTTACTGCCTGTTAAGTGTTTAGTGTCTTTTAATGGGTTTTTGTGACTCTTTGAGGGACAGCAGCAACAGATGAGCAGCTGTGGACACTCTACTCTCCTTTACTTCAGCCAGTTCCTGTCTTCCTGGGAACATTTCCCCTTAGTTTCCTCCATTCTCAGATTCACCAAGTCAATAAATCAGTGGTTCTCAACCTGTGGGTCATGACCCTTTGGTGGTGGTGCTGGTGCTGGTGGTGGCGGGGGAGGGCAAACAACTTTTTCACAGGAGTCCCATATTAGATGTCGTGCATAATGTATGATTGCATAACTAGCAAAATCAAAGTAGCAACAAAAATAACTTTATGGTTGGGGTCACCACGACATGGGGAACTGTATTAAAGTTTCTCGGCATCAGGAAGGTGAGAACCTCTGCAATAAATGCATCCTCATTTACATCTGTAGCAACTTCTAATACCTTACGGTAAGCTACACGGGGCTGTTCATAGAAAGAAGGTCTATCTACTCCTAATCCATGGGTACCTGTCCATAAAGGTGAGCAGAGGGAAGAAATGAATGCTCCAAAGTGGGCAATACACAAAGAAAAGTCAAGTCCTATACCAATATGATCTCACTCTCTATGTGTAATGGTGCTAATTTAGAATTTGCAGCCCCAAACCTGCTGAGTACAAGGATGGGGTACACAGAAATTAGTGTACCCCATCCTAGTAACATTCTATTTACTCAAACAAGTCACCTCAGCTCAGTGAAGGGAACTACTCTTTGAAGCATGTTAACTGTTTAAATTTTACCATATACCTGTACACAAATTAACAGTTCTAGAGTCATTAGGAAAAGTTCAACCTTTCTAATGAGTTAAGTGCTACTTAAGTCTATTTCAACAAGTGGCAAATCTAGCTCAGTTTCTATCATTTAATCCACTAGGGAAAGAAGCCGCAAATCCAAAGTCTCTAGTAGCCTGCTACACACCCCACCTTTACACTCAATTTTAAAGTATCTTGACTTGGTGCCCTGATAGCTTCTATATGAACATGCGATGCAGAAACTAGTAAGAGTGTGTATCCCTAGTCACATCAGAAGAAAGCAAATTACAGTGAGAGGGACAGACAGACAAACCCACTGTTGGTGCAATAGTATTTTAATGACGTGTCCCCCCCTTACCCCCTCCGGGTGACAGTTTGTCCTGTCCAGGAATTCCATTTGTAGACCAGGCTAGCCTTCTTGAACACACAGAGATCTGCCTGGGAGTGCTGGAACTAAAGGCATTCACCACCATGCCTGACTGACCTCTTTTTATTTTTTATTAATATGATGTATTTTTATTTATGTGTCTATGTGTGTGCATGTGACTGTAGGTGCCCACTGAGTCCAGAAGAGGGCATTGGATCTCCTGGAGTTAAGAGTTACAGATGGTCGTAAACCACTCAGCAAGGATGCTGGGAACTGAACTCAGGTCCTCTGGAAGAGCAGGAAGTATGCTTAACTGCTGAGTTACCTCTGCAGCCCCAACAAATGACTTCTTAACAGATATACTTGTGTTAAGTGTCTGCAATCTCTGGTATGTTGTTGCTGCTGCTGGTGATTTTTGTTGTCTGTTTGCCTTGTTTTATTTAACCTCATCTGATATTGATAAGCTATGGGATAACACTTTAAATGCCACAATTATGCCACTCTTCCTCTTGGCCACTGGGAAGCTATACCTTGCATACATTTTAGTAAAAGAAACCACATTTGTTCGACATATCAAAAAAATAAAATGTATACTTTCATGCAACTTAAAGAAAAATGTTGGATTGACTGAATGACCTATATGCACAGTACCTACTTTCTAGAGACACAAGCTCAGTGTCTCCCAAACTGGTTCAGAAAGCAACTGATGGCAGCACTGGGAGGCAGAGGCAGGCGGACCTCTGTGAGTTCAAGGCCTGCCTGGTCTACATAGTGAGTTCCAACAGGCTCCAAGGTAATACAGAGAACCCCCCCAACCCCCCCCAAAAAAAAGGAAGGAAAGAAGGAACTCATGCGAAACAGAATTCCCACTGGTTAGGGAAAATACTGGCACTCTTCATTCTGATGTCCCCTCAGCCACCCACCATGCTAATGACCCTTGGTCACCAATTTACCCGCTGCCCCCAGCAGGTACTTTTGCTTACCAACATGACCTTTGTAGTGGAAATAAAGATAGTCTGAACACATCTGTTACATATGCAAAAAGTTATAAGAGGTCTGAAAAAACATCTCTGCCCCAATAACAGACATTGCTTGTGGTGTTTCCAAAGGGAGCTCCCAAGCAAGGCCTTTTAATGAATACATTTTATGGAAAAGGCAGTCAGTAGTTCTACAAATATTAAACATTTCTAGGAGTACTTGAGTGTTACAATAGTTGATATATCTTAATTGCATTGCTTAGTGGAGTTCTGATTTCATTCCAGGTTAATTACCCAGGCCCTACGTCATACTGAACTAATAGTACATCAGACAAGATCAGAAATATCACCACAAGTTTCCTTTTACAATAATGTAAACACTGAGCTTTTCTTTGTTTTTCTGAGAAATGGTCAGAGGTGGAAGAGGCTGGTATGAGCGCCTGATTCCCCAGACCCACCACCATACCCAGCTCTGACAAGAGCACTACACCCACACATCCGGAAGACCACACACACCCCCTGGTTCCATCTCTGCACTTGGCACTCACCTGCTTTTTCACTGATCGGCTGCTCATAATCTTCTCCACCACTGGGCCTTCTGCATCAACAGATTCCTGAAAGAGAGAAGGTGGCATCAGCTGATCCGAATGGAAAACATATGACCTGTGCTACACAAGCAAGCAGGAGATCCTGTCCGTCAGCCCATGCCTCTACACCCTCTCAAGTCACCTGGTCCAGTCACCAGTGGGGTACAAGAGAGACCTCGTGCACAGAAAGGCAAAGGAAGAGCTGTGCTTCTCACTTCCTGATTGTGTGGTTAATTGTGGAGACTAGCACAGACCCTTGAGCCACAGAGCACGCACTCCAGCTGCCAAGAAAAAGGATTCTGTGCACGACAGCGACATTTCTGCATCTACACTCGCCGAGTAAATGCCCCCGTCACTCCGTTACTGTAGGCAGCTCTTATCTACGGAGGTAGTGTAAAACACTGTACAACAAACAATCTAACACAGCACAAGCTGCCAACTAGGCACAAAGCTGCATTTAACAGACCTTTCAACTGGCTACCAGTTTGTTAACTAAAGTACGGTAACAGCAAAAGATGGATAAGTAAAATCTTTACAACAATCAATTCTATGCTACTTGCTGTGTTTCATACAAACTCTTTTATCCATCATTTACATTGCTCAGAGAATAAAGTGTGCCCTGCTGGGTATTCCAAGGCAGTAATTTCATAAAGGGGTTCTTGCGGTGCCAAACAGCAGGAGGTGAGCGTCAGCGGTTTATTACAGTTCCTTTACAGCATTGAGCTGGCTCCCAGAGGTAAATTCAGTGCCTCATATTCTAGCTGAAACTCTTCCTCAACAGAGACCATCAATTCTCCAAATTGTGTCAAATTGTGTATCATAGCTTGCATAAAAATAAACCTGAGTGCGTGGGGAGTTTTAAGATACCACTGAACAATGAATTTCCCACAGCAGACATCAGCCAACATTGGTGGACGATGCCCCTGCTCCAAGTCCGCCTCCGCCACGGAGCTGCGAAAGATCCCAGGCATAGGATTCCCAGTCCACCCCTAGAACACAGGAGACCCCACAGGCGTGGCTGCAAACCTGCTGTTCCGACTGCGAGGTGTTGGATGGAGAGTCTCTCCCAGCAGCATCTGCATCATCTGCCTCCTCATCAGAAATCTTGAATTCCAAGTCTTCGGTGTATCGCTTCCGCTTCACCTGCCTGCTGGAGCGCCTCTTCTAAAACAGAACCCCACAAAGTGATTTTAAAGGGCAAGCCTGCGGTGTGTCTTAATCTGGAACAAGGTGGTAAGACCTTTTTTGTTGTTGCTGGTTTCCTCCCCCCCCCCCCATCTTAAAGAAAACCTGGTGACTTTAATCCTCAGAGTCCAGTGAAAAGGCCATTGTGGCAACCATAGTAATGAATGGAGCTCTAGGGCCCTGGGACCATGTTTCTCTGCTGCTCCCAACAACAGGAACACACAAGCAAGAGCAAACTGCGTTCGTCACTTGGCCAAGCTCCGTCAAGAGTGGTGGCCACACTGAGGAGGACAATGGATGGAGAGGGGCCCAGGACGCTCTTCTCTATTTTTGTATGCCTGAAACTTTGAATGCAAAACGTCTCCTAAAAATGGTGCATTAGAAAATAATCAATGGGCTATACATTTGTGTATATAAATGCACAAATATTGTTATTTCCCAAGGTCCTTCAATATGCACTTTAATTCTGAACTAAAAAGAAATAGCTCAGGGCTGGGGGGGGGGGTGTCCATGACAAAGCACTTACTTAGCATTCACAAGACCCTGGGTTCAATCCCTAGTACTGGAAGAGGAGGCTGCGAGAAGGAATGGGAACTGAACACACAATTCATAATGACTGGCTATAATAAGTATGTGGGGTTTTTTGTTTGTTTGTTTGTTTGTTTTGAGATAGATTCTTACTATGTAGCCATGGCTGGCCTGGAATGATTAGACCAAAATAGGCTCCAACTCACAGAGCTCTGCCTGTCTCTGTCTCCCAAATTCTGGGATTAAAAGTATGCACCACCATGCCTGGCAGTTATAGTTTTAATACAACTTTTTATCATGCTCCTTAAAATTTAAGAGTGGTAATAGCTATCTAGCATCAGCGTGACTGCTAGCAAAATGCACACTTTCACTCTTGTGGTCAAAATGTAACCCAGCATGGCCTTTGCAGACAATGTAGTGAAGTGTATCCATAAGAAAACACACCCATCCATTGACCTGGCAATACAGAGCATATGTGGAAATCAGCTGCTCCTGATTCTATGTAAGACAAACTCCAACTGTTTCTAATCTACATGGATGTGTGGGTGACTAATAAGCCCGGAAGGTGAGGCTAGGCACGTCATCTTCACCTCCCTGGTCCTCAAAAACGCGCAAGGAGAAGACAAATGCAGTGCTTTTGCTAATCTGAAAAGAAATGCACGCTGTTATTGGGTTTGGGGCTCTGAATGGAGAAGAAAAGGAGCAGGGGCAGCAGAGCATTTTAATCTCTAAAAGAAAAGTCCTGCAGACTTTTAAAGACACAAAGGGCTGAAAAGTCAAAATTCAGAAGGAAAGAATAAAGATACCACTGACTAATACCCAGAATTCCTGGTGTTTAAAGGGCTTCGAGAGTTTTATAGCCAAACACTAAGAGGGAGAAGTAAAATGCTCATCACCATCCAAAAGCAAGGCAGACACTGCCTTGTCTCAGGGCAAGACGGCCCACCAGCACCAGGCCATCTCCCAGCCTGAGAATGAGGCGTTCTCACCTGCTTTATAAAGATACTTTTGGTTACAACAGACATGTACCAAAGAGAAAAATCTAACTGTGTTTCTAAGGCCTTGCTGTGGCAACACCTTTTGCCCAATTCTGAGTTAGAGAGTTAACACGCCATTTACTTTTGACAAGGAACCAGAAAATTCAGAACTTCTCACTGCAAGCCCTCCCAGATGCACCACTAGTGAACAAGCAGTCTGTGTCACTTCCTGTTTCAGACACCAGGAAGAGAGACGATGTCAAGGCAGGTCTCTGTGTGGCTGCCTGCCTGCTGGTAAGCCCAGAACTGTTAAACTGAGACAATTAGACAGAAAATGCTGGGCTTGGCTTGAACTGCAAAACTCTCTTCCGTATCTGAAATAATGAAAGGAAAAGAAGTCGGAAGGGAAGAGGAGGAGAGGAAAGGATAGGAAGAAAATTAACCCCATCCCCAAACAGAAAGTTCACGGTTAGTCAGAATGTAGACTTTAAAAAAAAAAAAAAAAAAAAAAAAAAAAACAGCAGCTGTGTTTGTGAAGCCATGATGGAATTTACTTAACTTGGGAAATAGTTCTTTTGTTTTGTTTTGCTTTGTTTTGAGATAATCTCCTTTGGTAGTCTTGGCTGTCTTGGAACTGGCTATGTATACTAGGCTGGCCTCAGATTCACAGAGGTAGGTGCTGGGATTAAAGGTGTGCGTCACCACATCCAGCCTGTGAAAATAATTCTTAATAATGTCCAAATATTATTCTCCTAAAGCTCTTACTTTCAGCACAAATTAAGACAAAGCATCCTCAAAAAATACAATGAATTTCACTAAAAATTTTTATTTTCAAGCTTCTTAACCAACTTTTAAGGGGTACCTATTAGGGCTAGAGAGATGATGGCTCAGTGGTTTATAGCACTGGCTGTTCTTGCAGAGGACCCAGGTTCAATTCCCCATATGGTAGTTTACAACCACCTGTAACCATTTACCCTCTCAGATACCTCTTTCTGGCTGCCCTGTGACATTAGACACAGTGATGCTCAAGAAAAACACAACATCATAAAGAAATTCTTTGTAAGAGGGCCACATATTACAAACCTTTGGACCTAAGGCAGCAAGGCCTGGGACTACACTAATGGTCAGAGGAAGCCCAACCAGCTGCTAAGGATTATTGCAATGGGCCTCAACAGTAACTGGGTCCTTGCTAACTCAAATATCACTTGCAAAAGCCACATCCCCAGTCACCCCAATAGACCGACTGGTTTACTTCCCGGGAACCTATCAAGAAAGTCATTCTTAACTGCCAGGTATACTGGTCAGTCTTCTTTCAGCCAGCCCCTCTCAGCCCAAATAGTAAAGGCAGCAAACTTCACACACAGGCATCAAAACACCTACCTGTGTCTACTACTACTAATGCATTCATTTCTAGAATTCAGGAGACTCTGCAGAGTTGCCATTTGGCAGCCACTGGCTTGTTCATGGATACTCTACCATGAATACATCTCTGATTAATGTCAAGGAGACAAGATACAAAGTATGTTTTGGTTTTTATTATGAAAAAAAAAATGAATGAGGGCAAGACAGAGAGCTTTTTCAGCTAAGTGACTGAAAAGCTAATTTTGATCCTTCCAGACACAGAAAAGCATGGCATGGCTTACAATTCCAGCACTGGGGAGGTGGACACACAATCTCTGGGGCTCAATGGCCAGTCACGGCTAGCCTACTACACAAACCTCAGGACAGCGAGAGCCTGTCTCAAGAACACAAGGCGGATGACTCCTACAGAATGACAGAATGACACCTGAGCTTGGCCTCCCGCTTCCACAAGAATGGGGACCTATGTGTACACATGCATTCACGCATCCATATACCTGCCAGTGTGTGCCCACGAGCGCGTACGCACGCACGCACGCACGCACGCGCACACACACACACACACACACACACACACACACACACACACACCACCACACCACAGAGAGAGAGAGGAGAGAAATCAGCACACAAAAAATTGACAAGAAACCAAATTTTAGGAAGAAATTGCAATGTGATGACACTTTAAATGAAGCAATATAAGAGCAATGTTAAAATGTTTATGAGGCCATAAATAAACACCAAAATAGACACTCATTAAAATAAAGGCAGTTTTTTGTTTTATTATTCATTTCAAGGCTCAGCGGCCCTGGAGTGAGCCGAGTTTCTGTTGGCCCTGGCTTTCTTCACTGTGGATATAACGTTCCAGACAACAATAAGGACATCGCACACACATCTGACAATAAAGCCGGGTGAAACCTTGTGTGCTTTGCGTGTTGCTAAAGTTACCCTGCTCCCTGGCCGGGACTCGGGAGGGAAGAGTGGTATTACCTGAACACCTGGGTCTTCCTCCTCTTCGGGGGCGGGGGATGGTGGGGGTGTTTTGTCCAAGTCTGAATTTTCTGAACCTTCTGCTTTTCCTTTGTTGACCTTTTTCTTCAAAGTACTTGCTTCTGAGTCGGGTTTCTTATTACTAGAATTCAAAGTATACATCATTTAGTGTTCCCCTGCAGTGCAGTTTCCCACGTGCCCCAAGCCTGCTCTTCCATGAGCACTAGTGGCAAAGGCTAGATCGATGTGTGCTGGCCATTTTTCATTAGATGGTGCTCCTAATTAATGTTTGACAACAAAACCTACCATTCATGACCTTCAGCAAATTTCTCACCCATTAAAATGGAATTGAATGTAAACCTTTGGATATTACCAAGTATTGCTCATAGCCCCTGCTAGTATGCGAAGCCATGAGGAAAAACTAAGACACTGCTTTGCTAAAAAGTAAGGTGTAGACAGCTTTTTTAAGTAGAGAAAAACATACAATCTAATGACCACAGCTTTATTTCTCTGGCATAGGGTTTTACACATTCCTTTTGAAGTCCTATGGCAACCGGTATTAGTTTTCCTCATATTCCACTTATAAGTGTTTAATAAAAATTCCTTTCTGAGAAATGCATAATTTTATTTAATTCAGTGTTCTTTACGAGCAAGTTTTTGTTGTTATTTTGTTTGTTTTGATGCTAAGCATTTTGGAGGGGGGAAAAAAAATCACAACTGGCCTTCATTTTCCCCTAGTGCCAGGGTAGAACCCAGGGCAAGCGCACACCCAATGCGGCCATGTCCAGGCTCACAGTCAGCACTTTAGTAAAAGCCAGGGCTTTGAGATTATATGTGTGTGTTTGTATCCAACTAATAAGTAAAGCTCACTTTCCAAATGTCACCGAAAGCATCAGCAGTATCTGAGTGTTACATCAGAGCACATGAGTGCACTCTGAGGAAAAAAGTCCAGGGTTATCGCCACCCCCAAAACCATTCCTCAGTGCTCTACCAGAGCAAAAACTTGGTGCTCTCTTTACTCTACAACTCTGGACCCAGGACTTCCTAACATATGCTATCATTTGCTATATATACAACACAGTAAATAACCAGACATCTGCAAAGATTTTCATTTTTTAAAAATATTTCTAGGGAGTCTCAAGCTGTAAGTAGCTTAACAAGCAAAAGACATATTTCAAACCCTACATTTATTAAAATTTATAAAGTCCCAGAAAAGCACACGGAGAAGCTGCACTAAGCAGCGTGTTGTCAGGCACTAGGAAGAGACTCAGGTAAAGATGTCTCGCACTAAGCACTCCCAAAGTACATGAACAGTGCACCAGCACACGCCCACGCAGGGTTTCCCACTAGTAATGATTGGAGCACCTTACATGTCTTATTCTTACATACTCGGAGTTTATTTTGATACGTGAGCATTTTAGCACAGCAAACAGCTACATCGGGAAACAACTGAAAGCAAGTCGAGATTATCGCAAATAGCAGTTCATTTCGAACACCGATTTTATTTACAAAAAGGTGGCTGGCGTGCCTAAGTCAGAGATCCCCAGACAGCATCACATTTTTTAAATTAAAAAATTCATGCAGCATTTCCTGACGAGAGTGCCCTGGTGTTTACGCTGCACACGGACAGAAGTCTCCCCTACCATGAGGCTCCATTTCCAGCATTTATTTCCGCTCTAACTGCCACAAATTATACAATACTACAGCTGAACACTGGGCCCCTTCCCTTTCATCTGCACGCCAAGAGCAATCAGATTACCCTGGTAACCAGCGGTCACATGACCAGCACCTGCTCTTTTGGCTGGATGCCACTGACTAAAGCCATCTGCTTCCCTCAATCAGCTTTCAAACATTCTCAACACCTGCGCTGCAGTGTTTTGTGGTTTCTTTTATCAAATCAGTGCAAAACTGCTTCCAAAACTTTACATATTTCTCAAATTTGTTTAAATCAGAGGTAGGGCTGTCAAAGGGCTGAAGCACTGCCAGGTAACCTGAGCTGGCAGTGAGTACTTTCCACAGTGACCTCGCTCAGCCAGAGCAAAGGATAGAGTTCAAGTTCGTGGGGTTTCGGGCCCGCAAACACCGTCCTGCAGGACTGAAAGGCTGCCTGTCTGGATGCTGCCCAGAGCCAGGTCTGAGGAAACATCCATTTGCTGGGGGACAGAAGCACTAATGACTTTCCATCTGCTCTATCCAAGGATGAGCTGCGCAGAACCTCCAAGATGGCTGAAAGTCAGACAGGACCTCCCCAAATGCTTAGACAAAAACCTCCTGGCCCAGGGAAGCGCTTTCTGATCTGATTACTGCAAGAGGCAAACTCATTAGCCCTCACGACATTCATGTTCAGGGACAGCTAGGCTCTCCCACCCACCGGTATGCAAACCAAGCACCCGAAGATGTCAGAAAAGGCTAAGAGATCTTCAGTGGCCACCCAAAGACTTTATAACCCAGGACAAAATTAATTACTTACATTAAATTGTCCTCGTTATGATTTTGGAGTAAGCCAATCTGTATTCCTATGAAGTGAGGCATTCAACAGCTTTAAGCTAAGGAAAAAATGAAGCCAGTTTTTCTTCTGCCACAAGTACTACAGAATGGTGCTTTCCCTGAGTCAGGGATTAGCCTGAGTTCTGTCGCAGTTCCAGCTGGGACTACAGACAGAGCACGTATGGCTTTCCTGCACTTCCGTTTCCTCATCCATAGCAAAAGGTTACTATCTGCATCTCTAGGGCTTCCATGAGTTTGAGGTGAGAGGAGAAAGATAAGGTAGCATTGGACAGAGATGATCACCTCCGCACATCCGGAAGACAAGGAGGACATCTGAGAGGTACACTCCGGCTGCGGCTCTGGTCCACCAGTGCCAGCTCACCTGAGGACCTCACAGCGAGGATGCCATGAGCACCAAGGCTCATTTCAGCATGCACGAGCAATGCTACTCACTAGCTAGAAGAACAAACAGCATTCACCCCATCCTAGACCACAGCAATCGCTGCCACATGACCCTCTCACCCATGGGAAGGGTCCCCAGCATGAAACCAGTGTGAAAAGGACAGAGTCTACATCAGAACCAATCTGTGAGGTTCAAACCCCACACAGAGCCACACATGTTCTTCTTCCAGACTATATTCGAAGCCCGAACATGCAAACAGACAGCTGCCCTGGTTGTAGGGACAAGGATATTGTCAGGAGTATTCCTTATGCCAGCATTGCACCATAGAAAGTGAAGCCACCGAGCAGCACGGTGCGGGCCCAGAGCTTCAGGGTCCCCCAACAGTTGCAGCCAATGCCTACTCAGCTCTACAGCTTACTACCCAGCCATCTAAACAGAGTCCCAAGAAAAGCCAGGCACGCACAGGCCACACTGCTTGCTCTCCCTTCTCTCCTGAGTCTGCTCTGACTCCTGTCTGTCCTGCATCAGCACATCCTGATGGAGCAGGACAGCCAGCGCTTGCAAACTCATCTCCACAGGGGACTACAGTCCATCTGATGATGTGCTTTAATGCAAACCCCAACGTACAATGTCTGCAAGTCTCAGTGCTGGGGTCTCCGCCTTCTCCAACCTTTACAACCCACAACAGCCACTTCCATTGCGCTCCCTCCAGCTCCATTCTGCAGGCTCACACGTGAGTACCAAACACACTCTGGCTGTGGTACCCTGAAAGCTGCCCACTCACACGCAAGACTCAGCAGACAGATCCAAGAAACATGGTTAGGACACCTCAGGAGCCTAGATGGGGTATGATCTCAAAGTCCCACGTGTCACATGACACAGAAATACTTAAAACATAAAAAAAAAAAAAAAAAAAAACAACATTAACATTACTGAGTTGTATTAAAATTAAAGCATTGTTATCTTTCACCAACTATCCTGTGACCTAAAACAAACAAACAAAAACCTTTGTATTCCTAGTGCCTACTTATGCTTCTTTTCCTATTTAATTAAACAGTTTAATAAGTACAAGGTTCTTTTTTCTGTCTTTCCTCCTCCCCACCCCCAAGACAGGGTTTCTCTGTGTAGCCATGGCTATCTTGGAACTCGCTCTGTAGACCAGGCTGGCCTCAAACTCAGAGATTTGTCTGCCTCTGCCTCCTGAGTGCTATTATTAAAGGCATGTGCCACCATGGCCTAATTACAAAGCTTATCACTATGTACTGACACTTTCCTATTTTCCAACACACACACACACACACACACACACACACACACACACCACAAAACAAAGTAAGCAACCACAAGACAGCTCAGGGGGAAAAGTGTAAACCATACAAGCCTGGTACCCTGAGTTTGATCTCAAGAACTCACACCACATTATCCTGTGACCCCACATGCACACTGTGGGATGTGATCATACACACAATAAAATAAATACTTTTGAAGGGTAAACAAAAGCTGGAACAGCATCTCCCTTCACAATGAGCCATCTGTAAGGCTGGAGCTAAAGAGCTGGTGGTGAGCAGGCTCAGCTCGTGGGCTGCTTGCCTAACACGACAAGGCCTGGCTCCACCCTCAGCATCCACACACTCCTATCTCCATAACTTGGGAGGGAGAAGCAACACAATAGGATTTTAGAGAAGAAAGGGAAGGGAAAAATGAAATGAGACTAAGTTTTTAAACAAACTTGAGGACAAGAGAAAAATTTCAAAAGCAATACACCATATGCCATTTATAAATATAAATTCCCAAGCCAAAGCCCTTCCTCCTTCTATCTCCCCAACAGCGACATGACAACAACACAAAGACAGATCTAACCCAACCCTCACTCGCATGCAGATCCTCCACTCGTGCTAGCAAGACCAGAAAATCAAACATAAATCCAGTGATGTCCCTGGAAAAATGAAATGTCACTGTTTATCCTGCAGCCCCGTGTTCCACACTTTATTTTGAGAGCAGACTCACACTGGCCAGCGCCGGGATCCACAGTCAACAGCCAAGTCATTAGTTCTAAGGTTATCGCCAACGCCATCAAAGCACGTACCACCCTGAGGAGAATGTTAGGGTACAATCACTAAAACACAAACTCCATATTCAGAGTTGTGCTGCCCTTGGTGGGAGGGTTGCTATCCCACTTCTGGAAGTATTCCTATTTAGCTGAAGACATAGCTGTTCATAAACAGGGCGGGCAGTGTTGTCTAAGATGGGGC